TAAGTCCACCCTTTCCCCAGTCAACGAGTCGCACAATCAGAGAATCTAAGGGCTCAGCAAAAGACTTTGCACATAGTAGAGAAGAAAGAAGGATTTGCTGAGCTGAATGTGAATATTCTAGAATGTCAGAAGTCAAAGGATCTGAGGATCTGAGGTCTTAAGCTGGAAGAAACCTCAGCCAACAATTAGCTCAACTCTGTCATTTTACAGATAATGAAATTGAGACCCAGAGAGGAAAAGTTACTTGCCTAAGGTCACACAGCTCTCTGTGTCTCCTTCAGTCTCAACAAATATTTCTTCAGTACCTACCAAGGGCTCTGGCCTGTGCTAGTAGATGTAAGGGGATGCAATGAATGAAGTTCTGCCCTCAGGATGTTTATTATCTAGCTGGAGAGCTAGATTGGAATGCTCCCATTTCCCAGGCAAGTTGAGGAATAGTTCAATGGCAGAGTTGGCCCACTCCAGCTCTGCTACTTAGTAGCTGTTTTACCTTCTTCAGGTCCCTGGCCCTCTCTGTACCTCCGTAAACTGAGGGAGTGGGCCTGGCTGCCTTCTCAAGCATCTTCCAGCCCTGCCTTTCTAAGCAGAGTATGGGGCCAGACTGGGGAGGGCCTTGAATGCGAGGTGAAAGAACTTGGACTTGGGCCTAGGAGGGACCTGTTGAGAGAGACCTCCTAGTGTGCTGGAAAGCACAATGGCTCTACATTCAAGAGGACTTGGGTTCAAATCTTGCCTGTGACACATTTACTGCTTGTGTGATGTTGGACTGAGGTCAGTGACCTGGAGAGGGCAATAATCAGCAGAATGGAAAGGGACCTTTTAAAGGAAAAAAACATAACAACAACACAATTCCATTCCCCTCAAAAACAACAAAACCGGGGCAGCTAGGTGGTGCAGTGGATAGAGCTCTGACCTTGGAGTCAGGAGGACCTGAGTTCAAATCCAGCCTCAGATGCATGACACTTATTAGATGTGTGCCTCACCAAAAAAAAAAATATATATATATATATGTACACATACACATATGTATGTATGTGTATGTATGTATGTATGTATGTATGTATGTACAAAACAACAAAGCCACTCCTTCTCAGCCTTCAGCCGGGCACAGACAAAGAGGCTCTGGGGATCCTAGTGTCCTACCAAGTCAGGATCAGCACAGTGGCATCTCGTGGAGGGTGAGTGAAGGCCCAATTGGGGGGTGGGGCAAGTTAAGCAGAGAGCAGGGCCCTCCCACAGCTGCCTCCTGCCCTTGTTGGTCCTCTGTTCAGGGGTCTTTTTTCCCGCTCCCTCCCAAGGCAAGCCCTCCACTCATCTTCACCCTCTCCCCACATACCCACGTGTAGTCATGCCAGTCTGTTCAGTGGGCAAATACATCCCCCTGCCCGCTGTGGATTGGAGTTATTCCAAACCTGCTCCCTTCCAAGGTTAGGTGCCTCTTTTGTTCGCCTAGCTGCTAACCCTGGGGATCCCTCTGTCCCCAGCATCCTAGGAGATCTGACGTCCAGGTGAGAAGGAGGAAGGGCTGCCTGGGGGTGCGAGGCTCAGAGGAGTGAGTAGGGGACCACGTGAGGGGTCGGGCTTGGGGAGGTCAGTGACTGCAATGACTAGATCGGGGGCATCTTGGCAGTGACGTGAGCGTGGTGCTTCCCTTGAGCCTGATGCATCCCAAGCCATCTTCTGGTGAGTGGCCCTGGGGAATCGGGCAGGAACACTTCAGTCTGGGAGCGGAGACCAGCTGAGGACTGGGGGTTGGAAGTGGGCCAGAGGGGGCTGGGAGAGGCTGTGGGGAATATGTTGGAAGGATTAGATGCTACTGAGTAAACACGCCTTCCCAGGACTTGGCCACCTGGAATCTTGGAGTCAGAGGCCCTGGGTTCGAATCCTAGCTCAGTTACTTACTCTCTGGGTGGCCTTGGGCAAAGCCCTTATCATCTTTGTTGCCTCAGTCTACTCCTCTATCAAATGAATGGGTTGAATGCAAATGACCTCTCCAGGAAGATCTAGCTCCAGAGTGAGCTGACTTGGGTTCCTAGTCCACCTCTGATGTTTACTACTTGTGTGCCCTTGGGCAAGTCACAGTCCCCTTCGCTCCCTAACTCTCATCAGTTAGCTCCTTTATCAAATGAAGGAGCCTGCCTAGCTGTCTCAGCGCTAGCTCTGGGAGCCCACGATTTCAGTCCTGTGCTCTCTCCCCTGGGCTGCAGATGTCACCAGGTACCAAGGGGTGGGCGGGGGGGAGGGGCTGGCCTTTACAAGTGTCTGAAGGACAATTCGAATTCTGGTGGAGGAGATTCCTTTCAACTTGACAGTGTCTTTCATGTGCTTTTCTGGCTTTTGCCTGCTTCTCTCTGCCTCTGAGGGGAAAAGGACCTGGGTGTGGGGGCACAGGAGAGTCAAGAAGAGGACAGGGGTCTCTCAGAGGAGGGTGCAATTAATGGACAGTCCAGATAGTTGGAGGACAGATGATGAGAAGGGGAAAGGAAAAGGGAAGGGGGAGGGGAAGGGAAAAGGAGGGGGAGGGGAAGAGGAAGGGAGGGGTCAAGGCTGGGAGATGACAGGGAGGGCAATGAAGAAGGAAAGGATTCATTGTAGATGTGGGTCCTTCCTTCTCCCTCATCCTTTTGCTGCTACTCCAGAAGTGAGGATGTCGTCATTGAAGACTTTTCTCAGCAGTGGCCGAAGATCCAGGGTGCAGATGAGACTGAGGAAGAGGCCACCTCTACCGCCTCGGGGACTGAGGACAACTGAGTAGGGCTGTTGAGCCTGGGACCTGGTGTAGCCCTTCGGGCCCCATGAAACTGAGCAAGGCCCAAATAAAGTGCACTGCCTTGAGTGAGGGTGTTTCTTCTTCCAAGATGGGCCCTGACTGCCCACGTTTCACTGGAAGCCTGCACTTCAGGCTTCATCATTGACTGGTCAAGGGGGAAAAAAAGACACAATGGTGCCACTAGTTGAGCTTATTCAGGGTGGGTGGACAGGGGAATGAACTGGATTCTGGCCCAATGGATGGCCTAGAAGCTGGACTGTGATGGGCCACTGCCTCTGCTTGGCTAGGAGCTCCTGATCTTCTCTTCAGAAGATCATCAAAGGTTTGTACTAAACAAAACACCCAGAACTTTCTTTATGAGTCTGAGGTCTACAAGTGAATCCTGTGTCACATGGGCACAGTCCCTTTGGCTCTCTGAGCCAGTTTCCCCATACAAAGGGATTGGACTAGAAGATCATTCAGGTCCATTCTAGCCCCAAGCCTACAATTCAGTCTATGATCTCTGTGGAAATCTACTGAATCCTGCCATTGCAATACCTGGTTGAGGATGTCTTGGCAAGGTGGATGATGATGGCTCTTTAGTCTTAATGGTAATTAAGGAATGACATGTAGATCAGGGCAATAGATTTTTAGTAGGAAGTCTAAGTAGTCTTCATCAGAAAATTCATGTGGGGAGGGCAGCTAGGTGGCGCAGTGGATAGAGCACCGGCCCTGAAGTCAGGAGTACCTGAGTTCAAATCCGGCCTCAGACCAAACAGTTGACACTTACTAGCTGTGTGACCCTGGGCAAGTCACTTAACCCCAATTGCCTAAAAAGAAAAAAAAGAAAGAAAATTCATGTGAAGCTTGGAACTGAGAGCTTTGGGGCAGAACTGGGGGAGTGTACACATAGCTAGTTAGCTGCCAGTGCAGCTAAACCAAGAAAGCCTAGCTCCCCGACAATCTGTTCCGACTTCTAAGCTTGCAGGACGTTGAGAAGTGGTAGAAATGTGGACTACCGAATGGAATCCTACTCAGGAAAGCCAAATGAAGCCTTTCCTCCAAGCCTGTAATAGGCAGCCCCAGAGGATGAAGCAAGGAGTAAATGGGGGAGGTGGGGGCGGGGCAGGGGGAGAATATGTTTCAGAAGAGCAGATTCAGGCTCAAGGTCAGGATCAACCTCCCAACAATGAGAGCCAGCCCAGAGTGGAACAGTAAAACAGTAAAAGGGATTCTTGATCCAGTACAGGTTGGGTTTGGGGACCTTGGAGATCCCTTCTGACTGAGGTTCTAGGATCCTCCTGACAAGGAGTGTGACAAATAGCAAGGACCCTGGCCTTGGAGTCTGGAGGCTCTAGTTTAAAGCCTACCTCCAACACTTCCTGTGTGACCTAAGCAAGTCATTCCCCTCAGAGCCTGAATCTCCTGTGTGCCCCTCCAGGGCTTCCAGAGGGTTGATCTGGTCAGGCCCATGGATGACAAGGGGTCAGAGGAAGCAGAGCCCTTGGAGACCATATAGTCCAACTTCCTCCACCCTAGCCAGTGTTGGGGAGAGGGACTGAGCTCAGGGAGGCTCACAGGCTGGATGGCACTCGTGCCTAGAACCGTAGAGACCATCCAATACATCTAATACTGGAAAGTGAGGGCAGACAGGGATGCGAGGCAGGGAGCAGGAGCCTGCGGGACAAAGTCTGCTGGGTTTGTAGGCAGATCGGGGTTCACATCTTAGCTTCTTGTCATACTGTGGGCGAAACCTTGGCCAAATCGCTTGCCCGCTTTCTCTGTTAAATGAGGGATTAGGCGGGACGGCCCCTCAGGTCCTTTCCAGCTTTCGAGTTAGTATCCTATGAATTCCAGGACAATAAAACTGGAAGGGGCCTTCAGCCCTGGGAGACCCAGTAGCCTAATGCCTCATGGGCAAAGGGAGAAAGCGAGGCCCAGAGAGGGGACGACCCTGAGGAACGCCGAAAGATGTACCGGGCGGGGCCTGCTGAGGCCTTCCAGTGCAAGCCCACCACGTTATAGAGGAGTAAACTGGAGTCCAGAGGCCCGAAGCTGGGGGCGGAGGTGGCTCAGCGGGCACCGAAGCACCTGACTCCAGCCCTCTACTCTTCCCCCGGGGCCGGATAGCTTGCCAGGCACACTCCTCCCCCCAGGCGAAGGCTGGCACGTGCCGGGCGCCCGCAGGGGGCGTGGCCAAGGCCACCAGTTGGGCTCCCTAATGTTCATTCCATCCCTAACTGTTGTCCATGTGAGTCGCCAGCCGACCCGCGGAGAGTGAGAGGGCTGATAATGGCCAGGGTCTCCTGGGTCCCGCCTTCAGGGCAGTCCCCGGTCGCGATGCAGTCCGGCCTGAGCAGCGGCGACGCGGCCACTGGCACCAACAGTTTCTGCGACTTCGGCGCGGCGTCGAGCAAGTTCCAGCTGGTCTTCCTCGGGGAGCAGAGAGGTTCGTTGCGGGGGATGTGAGGGTGGGGCAGCTTGACCGGCGGGAGGGACAGGCAGAGGGCAGGGAGGGGGACAGCGATGGCTGGGACAGCCGGGGGGGGGGGTGCAGGGAGGGAGAAGGGTGAAGGACTGGAACAGTGGAAGGGATCGGGGCAAAGAGTGAGGGAGCAGCGGAGGGGAGAGTCATCCTCTCCCCCACACAGCCCAGCTGCTCCCCTCGCCCACAGTAGGGAAGACTTCACTCATCACCCGATTTGTGTATGACAGCTTCGACAATACCTACCAGGTGAGAGAGTACCTGCTCAGGAAAAGCTGGCCCCTTCCCCTCTTGGGCCCCTTCAAGGTAGCCATAGGGGCTTGAAGGAGACTTCCAGGCCTTAGCAGCTAGCCGGCCCTCCCTCTGGGGTGTTTTGGGGGAGAGGTCACCTGGTACTCCTGATTCCAACTCTCTCTCTCTCTCTCTCTCTCTCTCTCTCTCTCTCTCTCTCTCTCTCTCTCTCTCTCTCTCTCTCTCTCTCTGGCAACTATTGGCATCGATTTCTTGTCTAAGACCATGTACCTGGAGGATCATTCAGTAAGTAATCAAAAGTTTGAGAGGTAGACTAATTTAAAACTGTCCTGTTATCTAGGCCAACTCTTTCATGGTACAATGAAAAAACTGAGGCCCAGAGAGGGGAAGGAACTTGCCCAGTGTCACACAGCACACCAGGTTTTCCAGTTCTTTTCGTTATAAGACACGTAGCCTCAGACCCTCCATTTTCTACCTCTCCATGCCATGATTTTCCTGACTTCTCCAGTTCCTAAGCCTTATGGATAGCATTTCAACACAGCCTGTGCAAACAGTCTAATAGATTTGTCAGTTCCCCATATATCTTGGATAGCAAGCTTTGATCAGAGATATCTAATGCAGAGATTCCCTCCCCCATGACAGCATTCCTTCCTAGCTGCATTCTGTTCAAAGAAAAGCTTTTAAATTTATCATTGAAGTCGTTTAGCTTGCCTTTTTCTTGGGTAAGAATTCTCCTCCAAGCCGTAGTTGTACAAGATACTTCCTCTTCTCCTCTAATTGTAAAATGGCATCACCTTTTATACTTAGGTCAAATATTCATTTGGAGTTTTTTGTTGTATATATTGAGATACTGGGCACAGAAACATCACCCCAGTAGTTTGTGGGTTAGATTATTTCCATGTCTGGCTGATCTAGTGTGTTCCACTTTAAAAAATGTTTTAACCAAGTCATTTTTATTGCTATTCTCCAATTAAGTTGGAGACCTGGCCCTAAAAGGCCCCCTTCGTCCCTACTTTATACATTATTTCCCTTGAGATGCTAGATCTTCTGTTCCTGCAAATGAATGTTGGTTTTCTAGCTGTGTAAGGTGGTTGACCTTTTGGGAGCTTCATTAGTATAGCACTGAATCTGTAAATGTTCTCCGCAGGTCAAGCTGCAGCTATGGGACACTGCCGGCCAGGAGCGCTTCCAAAGCCTCATTCCCAGCTACATCCGGGATTCCACTGTTGCCGTTATTGTTTATGATATTACAAGTGGGTACTCTGGGATTTCATTAATTCCTGGGATGGAAAGTGGGAAAAGGGATGGGAGGAAAGTCTTCTGAGAATCCTGGCCTCCCCATAACCTTTTCTCTATAGATCTCAACACCTTTTATCAGACAAGCAGGTGGGCAGAACGAGCTGGGGATGTCATTATCATGTTGGTAGGGAACAAGAATGACCTGAGCCACAAGAGGTAAGAGACTAAAGGGCAGAGTCTGGGGGTAGAAACCTAGGGCCCTTATGGGCCCTCTAGTGCCTGGGTCCGCCCTCTCAGCGGACCAGGTGTGCTGGGCGTAGTGGGGAAGGGATGCCAGAATTCTGAGGCTACTGACTCGGGGGCTCTTAGCCCAAGGTAAGCTGAGAAGCAGGGACAGCTTGTTTAGACAGACTCCCTGCTGAGATAAATCTGTGAGCCCTCTGTTAGGGGTTATCTTGGAGAATGTCGTTCCTGGGGCAAAAGGGATCTTCTCTACCTCCCTATCTGAACCCATCCCTCTCTGGTCTGTCCAGGCAAGTAACATTAGAGGAGGGAAAACAAAGAGCCAAGGAAATGAATGTCATGTTTATTGAGACGAGTGCCAAAACTGGACACAACGTCAAACAGGTAACGCCTCATTCCCTTGGTGGCCTCCCCATTCCTGCCTGCCCTGCGCCCTTTGCTATTTACTGTCTTGGAGAAAAGGAGAAAGCTCAGGTGGCCGTACTGTCTCCAATGGAAAGCCCTTCAACCACCCCATCCTTTCATGAGGATAGGGACTGCACTTTGTCTATATACTGTCCTGGAGATCCCATTTCCCCCCTCTCCCCCATGTCACCTCTGACACACACACATTCAGCCCACAAGACAATCCAAATCCAATTTTCTATATATGTATGTATATGTATATGTGTGTGTGCATGTGTGCATGCATGCATCCATGTATGCATCCATGTATGTATTTCCCTAGCTCTTCCGGCGAGTGGCTACTGTACTTCCTTTCATGAATAGTGTCTCAGATCAAAGCAAAAGCGAAAGTATCCTGTTTCCCAGTCCAGTGAGGGGCCAAGGAGGGAGGGAGTGGGGGGCAGGGAGGCACATAAGGTTCCTTAGGCAGGGACAGGGAGCTGAAAAGATCAGAGTTTTGGCACCCAGGGAGGAGGAGAAAATAGAACTGACTTTACTTATTTGAGCCCTGAGGAGATGCCTGCCTGGTTCTTCTCCCACCCCCACCTCCCTCTAACATACCCAGCCCCCAACACAAACATCTCACACACACACACACACACACACACACACACACACACACACCACACCACACCACACCACACACACTCATACCACGCACATACACACACATTGAATTCGAAGACAGAAGGTCCAGTTTGCCTCACTGAGCCTCCCCCCTCCCCTTTGCCCCACTCCTCCGGGCAGCCCTGGCCCTGGAGCTCCCTCCCTCCCCGGCCCCGCCCACTGCTCTTGAACTTCCTTAAACCCCTCCGCAGTGGTGGAGATCATGCTGGAGAAGTCCCATGAGCCAGTTGCTGAGGGCGGCGGCGGCCGCCGCTGTTCCTGCTGAGCCTCGCTCCCCTGCATTCTCCTCGGGTAGCCAGCCTCCCCTACTTCCCCGTGGGCGGGATCTATTTACTGGATTTGGGCCTCGCACTTCCAGATTTGCTCCCCGATCTGAAGCCCCCGCCTCCCTTTCCCGCGCGTGGACCCCGCAGCGGGTGGAGGCTGGAAGCCGCGGCCACTTGGCCAGTTTCAACCCCGAGGAGCCGATCCCCGGCGGCCCTTTCCAAGCCTAGTCCGGATGGCCTCCAGCCTTCCCTCCTAGTCCCCGACCCTTGTTTGCCCGACTTGCCCTGACCTTCCCCGTGCATTCACTTCTTTAATAAACGGCTAGTCTTCGCCCCCGGCCCCGCCGCCGAGTGCCTCTGCCCATCTTGGCCGCCGCCCACCCCCTCCTTTTGGGGACTCTTGCCCTTTGTGCCCGACACCCGAGGAAGCTTGGAGCGCCCCCTCCCCTTTCCTCCACGCTGAGGCTGGGCGGGGGGCGCGGGGCGCGGGGGCGGCAGTGGGGGCGGGGAGCAACCCAAGCAACTCCGGAGGACTCTGGGAGACCGAACCAGCCCCTCCCTGCAACCCGGGGCTTTTTAGAGCGGCCAATCACAAAGGAGCCGCAGAGATGGACTTGGCCGTGTGACCAATAGGAGCGAGCCGTCGAGGCTCAGCCAATGGGCTCCCCCGTGGTGCTCTAGCCCATGTTCCGTAGGTTTGTTCTCGGAGCCCGTAGCCACAGGCGAAGATTAGGGACGGGTTTTCTAGGAACAGATAGGCAGATTGACTGACTGACGGTGACAGACAGACAGAGTCTGGGCTGAGAGGGGCTTTAACACGACGAGGTCCCGCTCTGTTCCGCCTAGACAGAGGGTAGTTCATTCCAGCTGCTGGGGAAGCAAAGGGACGGGCGCGCTTCCCAGCTCGGGGGAGGCCCGGGAGCTAATGGGATGGTTGGCTTCCATGACCCATGGCCCACGGGACCAACTTCCTTCGGTCTAAGCAGCTCCCGAATGACACCCCACCCCCACCCCAGCCTATTTACCTGGGCAGTCCAGCCAGCCAGCATGTCGGCGTCCTGGCCAGCCCACGGGGAGACTCGAGGGCCTTCAGTAACTTTTGCCAGCCCTGCCCAGGAATGGCATGCGCAGTTGGCTGTGCCCAGAACCTTCAGGGAGGATGTTGGCCCTACCCCCAGGGAGATACACATGGTCCTTCCCTGGGTTCTGGGGTGATGGCCCCCCCAAAGCGGTACGATACGGCCGAAGGAAGAAGCTTTGGGCTAGGGCTTTGCTTACCAGCGCCACCTGGTGGGGAGGACCTTGCTTTGTCTCCCAATCACAAACCTTTAGCGCCAAATTGACCTCGAGGTTTTCCCAATGGAAAAAATATGTAATGTGCTAGATGACCACAAATAGCAGAACCACTGGGATTCTAGTGTGCTGGGAACCTTTGATATCAATCAAATCAGCAGCACTGTAGTGCTGGGCTATTATGCCCGTGAAGGCAGGGCAAGGGCCTCTGGTGGGGGAATTCCCAAGGTGCTCTGTCACTGGGGAGGAGAGATGGTGTTCAGCCTAAAAATGGGACATGCTGGAGCAGGGGCTCTTGGCCAAGCCTGGGACCAGAGCACCCTGAGTACCTTTGCTTGTCTTTGGACAGAGGGATATCTGGGAAAGAGGCTTTTAGCCTTGGCCTAAGTCCTTTGGAATCTAAGGATATGGGGCCGGGGGGGGGGGGGGGGGGCGGGGAGACAGACAGATGAGGCAGAGAGAGAGAAAAAAACTGCTAACGTTGTCCCTACCAGGGAAATGCCTCACTCTGAAAAAGAGTGGTGATTCTCCCAGCCTGGCAGGTTGTCAGATCATTAACTTCTCTAGCACACATTGGCGAGCATGACGGTTGGCCATCTGTATCACTCCCTAAGCACAGTAAGTTCAGAGACCCCTCACCAGACATAGGTTGGCCAATGGCTAACGAGCAAGGCTCTTGCTCACTTCTTCCAGGTTTTTAGTTTTCGACATTCACTTCCACAAGATTTTGAGTTCCAAATTTTCTCCCCATCTCATCCCTCCCCCCTCCCCAAGACAGTGTGCATTCCTGAATACTCCTTCCCCCAATCTGCCCTCCCTTCTATCCTGCCCCCCTTCTCTTATCCCCTTCCCCTTCAATTTTCCTGTAGGGCAGGATAGATTTCTATACTCCATTCCCTGTATATCCTATTTCCCAGTTGCATGTGAAAACATTTGTTGTTTTTTTTTTTCACATTTGTTTTTAAAACCTTGGGTTCCAAATTTTCTTCCTCCCAACTCTGATTCTCTTTTGTTCAGCTTCATGCCCCAGATGGCAGCAAACCAAGTTTTCGTGTATCTGGCTCCAGCTGTGAGTGAGGAGCAGGAGGCAGGGTGGGAGAGACAACAGAACAGGCTGCCCTGACTTGGGGAAGCCAGAAGTGGGGCCTGTGCTGGCCCCACTGAGCTTCTACCAGCCATTTCCCTTTAGAGGATGCTGAGGAAATGGCACAAGACCTCACAGAAGTATCCAGAATGGAAGCAACAGTGGAGTGGGCCCCTAAAGCCTGGGCTCTTCCAGCCACAATGCCTGTAGAGGATCCCAAGGATATCTTTGTAGTCTGCCAGAGTCAGGGGGGGGCGGTTCTGGGGTGACTTTCCTCCCTCCTAACCCTGGTGAGGTGAGGGCTACTCGGCCACTTCATAGGTCACTCCTGCCTGTTACAAAGACTTTCACATCCTCTTCCCTCCCTGCCTCAAACCTGGCACTTGCCAGGTCCAAATGATAGAGCCACATCAACAGTAATCCAGATTTTCCTTTTATTTAGCTGGGGGGGGGTGGAGAAGGGAAGTTGAGGTTTCCATTGGGCTCCCTGTCTCAGATCAATGCTGATTCCCCCCTAAAGAGGTTCCCTTGCCTTTACTAGGCCTGAAGCCCACCCAGAAAATGAGGAAAAGTGCAGTGTAGTCTAGGACAGTGCAGGCTGAGGTCTGGTTCAGTGCTTCCAAAGTCAGGCATCTTCTAGTGCACAGTCCGCTCCTTCTGGCGATGGTAATCTGGGAATGAAAGAACCTACAGGCAGGCAGGGCAGACAGCCGGCCTCCCCCTTCCTCCTAGTTTCTGCAGCTAAAGAGTCCTAAAACCCAGGGCCCTTGGCAATGACAAAGGGAACTGGGACCATGAGCTCCAGAGCCCAGGGTCTGTCACTCAGAAACATACTGTAGGGGAAGAAGCGGACCCGCATGCTGATGTCCCGAGCTGTCTTCAGAATCTCCACAGCCTGCAAAACAGAAGAAGCTAGGAAAAAGGAGAAATGGGCCGCAACCAGCCCCCAACATCCACCACGTGCTACTCTGTATTTCCTGAGCTGCCCAGTGGGACTGAGCCAGGGCCGGGGGCTCTTCCACCATACCCTACCTTGCTGTGCTCAATATCTTGGAAATCTACTTCATTCACAGCTAGGACCTGGTCTCCTTCCTGTAGTCCAGCCCGATGGGCATCTGAATCAGGAATCACCTGTTGGGAACATGAAGGACATGTGTGATTGGTGTAGGAAAATGGAAAATCTTAGGGAAGAGGGCATGAACCAGATGGGGGAAGGTGATTTGGCAGTTAGGGGGATCAAAGTGAGAAACAGGTCTGCCAGCAGTTAAGAGCTGCTTTGTGAACAGAACGTCCATCTTCTAGCTGCAGGCCAACTGCAGGGTTAATCTCAGATATCCTGGTCAAATACAATGCAGGAGGTCACCTTCCTCGCTGACCCACCTTGGAGATGAAGATACCCAGCTGGGAGGCCTTTCCCCCACGGATGTTAAATCCCAACTGTAAGAGAAGGACACAGTGAAGGAGATTCAACAGAGAAGGCACCACAGACAAGAGCATCTAGTCCCAGCAAAGGACAATAGTAAAGTTTGCTTGTCTCTTGGGAAATAAGTGGAATGGCATTTCTGCTCACCCAGGATTGAGGGAAGAATAGTGCCTGCTTTGGATTATAGCAACTTCAACCCTGGGCCGAGCTCCAAGTAAACACCCTTGGCAAGGCCCACCCCAACCTGGCATAAGAAAACACTGCTCTGCAGGCTCACCTGGGCTCCCGGGGGCTTCTTCAGTGTGATGGTCCGAGGCAGGAACTGGGTCAATTCATTGTTGTAGTCTGGGTGGTAGACCCTCTGCAATACAGAGCCCACCCCCAGGAATCACACTCCCTTTCCAGGGCTCCTCCCTCTCTTCTGCTTTCAGATCATTCTGGAAGCAAGACAAGAGAAAGTAGCCACGGCCCAAGGAGGCCCGCCAATATCACCCAGCTGAGCAGGCAAATAGTAGTCCTCTCCTCCTGAAGAAATGAAAACCATTGGGCTCTACGTGTTTAGAATGCCCTAGAAGGGACAGGTTGGGCAGAAATTAGAGTACAGTATAACTACAGTTATTTGGGTAGCTAGGTGGTGTGGTGGATAGAGAGCTGGGCCTGGAATTGGGAAGACTCATCTTCCTGAGTTCAAATCCAGCTGCAGATACTTCTTAGCTGTGTGACCCTGAGCAAGTCCCTTAACCCTGTTTGCCTCAGTTTCCTCATCCATAAAATGAGCTGGAGAAGGAAATGGCAAGTGTTTTTGCCAAGCAAATCTCAAATGGGACAGAGAGTCGGACACAACTGAAGCAACTCAAGGGAGGCACACGCTGGAGATTTGCTATTCCACAAATCATAAGTACCAGGAACAGAGCAGGATGTCCAGAGCCCTTTACGGAAGGTTCCCAGGCAGGACAGTGAGGCAGATCTGCTTCATTCTAGGCCTTGCCCTACAATCAATCACTGACTTCCTTCTATCCTCTAGGTACCACCCCCCTGAGTCACAGCAGCCTCCCACGCCCCCACTGCCCCCACACAGGAACTGGATAACCACACACCTCATGAGGAGGAATCCAGGCAGGGGGGTTCTCATAGGGCGGCAGGAAGACCACCGGGTAATCATCATAAGGAATCTGGCCTTCCATTTCTGGAGAGGGGCTGAAGGGCACAAACAAAAACTGGCATTCAGCTCAGAAGGGTGAGTCAAACCAGGGCACAATTGATTGAGAGAGTGCTGGTTCTGGACCAGGGTTCAAATTCTACCTTGGGGGAATCACTGCCTCTCTCTGGGTCTTTGTTGTCTCCTCTGGAAAATAAGAATGATGACCTCTGCAGCCCCTTCCAGCTCTCACTCTAAAATTCTGTAGTTCAATCTGAGCATCAGAATGACGCCAAGGTGATCTGAGCCAAACCCTCCCTCCTCCCCCTCAACCGCCCATGGCTGTTAGCTTGGCTCAGATGAGGAAATGTTGAAGGCTGCGATTAAGAATGGGGGGCTGGTTCTGGGTCAGTTATCTACAGGGGCACCAGATGCCACTCCCCCACCACACACACACACACGCACACACACACACACATCTCTCTCTCTCTCTCTCTCACACACACACACACACACACACACACACACACACACACTCTCTCTCTCTCTCTCTCTCTCTCTCTCTCATAGGGTCTCCTTTGCCTGAGGTACAGTAGCAAGAGCAGGGTCTGATTGATTGGTTAGAAACAGGGTTAGATAGAGCTGCTTTAAAGTTCACAAATCAATTTCCACACGTTATCTCATGCCATCCTGTAATACACATTCTGAAGGCCTATCCATAACTATATGTATACACATATGGACAGCCTGGTCCAGACCTGTGATTTCCTTAATACAGAAAACTCCCTCTCCCAATGCTGGCTGGGTAAAAAAGAGATAATATTTGCAAAGTGCTTTGCAAGTTTAAATCGGTATGGCACCTACATGGCAAACTGAATAGAACATTAGCCCTGGGTTCAAGAAGACCTGGCTTCAAAGTCGGCCTCGGAAAATTATTAACTGCTTGGCCTTGGGCAAGTCATTGCACCTCCATCTGCCTCTATTTCAAAAACTCAACTATAAAATGGGAATCAATAGCATCTACCTCCCGGGGTGTTGGGAGGCTCAAAGATTTGTAAAATGCCTAGCGCCAAGTCGGCGCTTAATAAATGATTCTTCCCTTCGGTGCCCCTTCAAGTCTTGGAGAGGGGCCAACGGGCACCGAGAGACGCCATGACTCGCCTAGGGTACCAAACTAGGAGGTGTGAGAGGCAGGACATGAACCCAGCTCTTCCACGCTTACCAGACGTAGGGGGGCGGGAAGGCGCAGGCGCAGGCCAGCTCCGAGCAGTGGCAGGGCTGGAGAAGCCCTTGGCTAGGGCGAGCCAACCTCCTTGGCTTCCCCCGCCTTCCCCCGCCGCCCTCCATCCTGCTGCCAGCCGGCCGCGCCCTCGCGCCCCCGCCCCCGGGCCGGCGCTGCCGCCGCCTCACCTGGACTGGGGCTCCGGCGCCACCGCCAGCTTGGACTTTCGGGCGCCCGTGCCGGTGACTGAGAGCCGGAAGCGGAAGCAAAGAGGACCCCGGCAGGCGGAGAGCTCGGGAGAGCCCGGCCCAGCCGCGGTGTCTCCCTGGGCGGGGCGGGGTGCCGAGGGGGCGGGGCGAGAGCCGGCGGGCGTGCGCCTGCGCTCCGGGCCTGGCCTCCGCCCCTGAGGCCCCGCCCCCTGCGTCCGTCGGCGGATTGGCCGGCACCGCCCAGGCCGATTTGAAACTTGGCGGTTAAAAGCTGCGGCGGGGTGATCGCGGCCCGGGAGGCCTCGGCAAGGATCTCGGCGGAGGTGAGCCCGCGCGGCGGGGCGCGTGCGTGCGTGCGCGCGGGAGGAGGGCGCGGCGCGGGACTTGGGGGGGGACTACGGAGACCCGGCGGCGCGGGGGGGAGGAGAGGGGAAGGGGCGCGGGAGGAACCGGGGCGCCGCGGAGACGGGAGGGAAGGCCTCGCGGAGCGGGGGGAGGGGGGTGCCGAGGGGCTCGTGGCCGTCGTGGGGAGACAGGAGATTCTGGCTCTCGTGAGGAGACTAGGGAGAATTGGGGAGTGAGGAGGCCGAGGCAGTGGTGGCGATCGTGAGGAGTTGGGGGGGGGTTAAGAGTCGGAGGAGACTTTGGAGGTTGCTTAGGTTGAGGAGATGTTGATGTCATGAGAAGTCGGAGATTTGGGGGCGAGCCAGAAGAAATTTGGGGGGCCGAAGAGACTGCAGAGATCGTGGCAGAGGTGAGGAGGCCCAGGAGATTTGGGGGGCCCAGAGGCTGGGAAGATGTTGGCATCGTAAAGGGGGTGAGGAGGCCAAGATGTTTGCATTGTGAAGAGGCTAAGATTTGGGGGTGAGGAGGCAGAGGAGATATTCAGGGGGTTAGAAATTGGATTAGATTGGGGGGGGTTGAGGAAATGTTGATGTCATGAAGTCTGAAATTTGGGGGGTGAGGAGTCAGGAGACTTGGAAGGTGAAGAGTCTGAAGAGGTTTGGGGGAATGAAGAGGCTGAGGAGATGTTGGAAGTGTGAGGAGACTGTGGCTCTTATTGTGAGGAAGCCAAGGAGATTTTGGCCATTATAAGATGGACAAGTAGATGGCGGGGAGGGGGCAGTGAAGAGTCTGAGGAGATTGAGGTGGTTATGAGAAGGCCAAGGAGACTGGGAGATTGGAGAGGTTGGAGATATTGTGGCTGTTGTGAGGAGGCTGAAGAGATTGGGAGGTCCTCAAGTCAAGCACCCCCCAACAGTCCTCACCTTTCTCGAATTCAGGATCAAAACTTCAAGAGGATGATGAAGGAGGAGGTGAAAGGTATCCCAGTCAAGGTGGCCCTGCGCTGCCGCCCACTTCTCCCCAAGGAACTGGATGAAGGCTGCCATACCTGCCTTTCCTTTGTGCCTGGAGAGCCTCAGGTAAGGGGGCAGGGTGGCCGGGGCAGACCGTTTGCTGACACCAATGACCTTGCCCAGTGAGTGGGGCCCATGCTCATCACCCAGCTCACGCCTGCCTGTTCTTTGCTGTTCTAGGTGGTAGTTGGCAGTGGGGACAAATGCTTCACCTACGATTTTGTGTTTGACCCATCGGTGGAGCAGGAAGAAGTCTTCAACACTGCAGTTGCTCCTCTCATAAAGGGCATTTTTCAAGGTGAGGGAGCACTCTGCCTTAGTGTTGGGGGATATGTCTCCAGGCACTAGGGCATCTTGTCCATGCTGTAGATGTCTTTGAACCTTCTTACTCTTTAGACATACATAGTCCTTGTGACTGAAAAAACAGAAACTATTGCTAAGCCTGTTACCTTGTTCCAAAAGTATGTGGGCAACATTGAGAGTGACTCCTAGTTATTGTGCTGACATCTGTTTATCTTGTAGGACGCCAGGATGCCCAGATTCAGTTGACAAGTTAAAATGCAGTGTGACGTTAGACATTTAGGGATTTAAAAAAAAGAAAGAAAGAAAAGAAAAAACAATCCATCTGAAACAAGGTTTCTGAAGCTTTTTCATGTTGTGGAGCCCTTGAGCAGTCTGGTGAAGCCTATGGACCCCTCCTCAGAATGATATATGTAAATGTATAGAATGAAATACATGGGGATTATAAAGCAAACAGATGATGTCAAAGGGAAGCTGTAATTTTTTCTCATCTGAGTTCACAGAAGTGGCAGTGGGGAGAGAACAGGAATTTGTGAAATGCCTGCTATATGCCAGGCATTGTGCTGAGCTTTATAAAGATTATCTCATTTGATCATTATAACAACCCTGGCTGGTAAGTGCTATTATTATCCCCATTTTATAGTTCAGGAAACGTGAGGCAGACAGAGGTTAAGGTATTTACCCAGTGTCACACAGCTAGTGAATGTTTAAGATGGGATTTGAATTCAGATCTTCCTGACTCTAGGCCCAGGGTTCTATCTGCTGTGCCATCCAGCTATTTCTGGTTAAGAACATCTCATATAAAAGAAGCAGAAATGAAAGGATTTATCAAATTGAAATGGCCTTAAAGATTATCAAGCACCACTCCATTACCAAAACAGGAATTCTTAGTAAATGATTTTCCAGCCCCTGCTGAAACATTACCAGTTATAGAGAGCTCCCTGTCTCTCAGTGCGGTTCATCCTATTGTTGGACAGCTCGAACCATCAGAAAGAAGCTTTCCAAACATGGATTCTCTCCTTGGGTCCTGAGCTGCCCTCTCCAGCTGTCAAGTCTAACCTTTCTCCCACACTGTTGCCTTTCAGATTTTGAAGACAGCAGCCATCTTCCCTCGAAGTCTATTCTGCTAGAGACTAAACATGCCCACTTGGGCTTTTTCTTAGGTGACATCACTTCTGACGCCTCACAAACCTATCCTTATTCTTGTAGGTCTGTGACCATGGCCAAGTCCCTTAACCTTTCTGAGCCTCAGGGGTTGGTTTGGTTTGGTTTAGTTTTAAGCTAAAAGTTACAGGCAGATTGTGTGGGAAGTGACCTGTACAATGAGATTGACAGCTTGAGGGAGCCTTAGAGAGCTTCACTACCTTCATGGATGAGGAAATGGAGGCCTAGAGTCCAACAGGCAGTGAACCTCAAAGCTGGATTTGAACCCAGATCTTCTGATTGACAGGTGGTAGGTCCTGGTTCATGATGAGATATTCTAATTAAATGTATAATTCTATGTGCTTGTGGCATAACTAGCCTATGCTGTTGATTAAAGCAAGAGTCAGTAATGTTGTCCCCTTTCATCTCCTTTCTATTGTAAAACTGGTAACAGCTGAGATTGTGCTTTTCTCCAGAGCAGAGGCTCTTGAACCGATGCATGGTCCACAGGTCCGTGAGCCTCAGGGCACACTTTCCAGCATTTTTAACAGTGCTAAATTGATTTGGGCATTAGGTACAGTGTCCATTATTATACAAATGTTTAAACATTTTTATATGCAAGATAAGCTTTGTGTTCAGTAGAAAAGGATTTGGCTGTACCTTTTTTTTTTTTTTTGGTGAGGGGAATGTGGTTGACTTAAATAAATTATTTCCTAAACTATAAAATGCTGAACTACAGAAGCCACAAAGATGTTAATTATGATCATGTATTCAGAGCTCTCTTAACTGACAGCCTTTAACTTGGTAACAGAGCCAGAAAATCAGGAAGTAAACAAAAACAAAAACAGCTTCTGGGCCACTGAAAGAAATGTTCTAAAACCAGCCCCATGCTCCGAGGAGAAGCCGACCTAGCCAATTCTGAATGCCTTCCTTCTCATGTCTCACCTATTCCCCCCTCCCTCAAGAGAAGCATCAAAACAGCAGACAGCAGGTAGCCATACTGATGGCAAGAAGCAACAGGGACACCCTGAGAGGGAAAGAGGGAAGATCTAAAAAGTTGACTGGATTCAAAGCACAGCAGTCTGGGCCCTTTCAGTAATAAGGCTATCAAGCCTCTCAGGTTCAAGCCTGGCATACGTTAATATAGGTTGTATTACAGAACCACACCTGACATGACCCTTGGTGTTCAAAACCAATTAGACCGTGTTCTGTATACAAGCTGTGGGCAGCTAGGTAGCCCAGTGGATAGAGCGCTGGGCCTGGAATCAAGCAGACTCATCTTCCTGAGTTCCAGGCTAGCCTCAGACACTGCCTAGCTGCCCTAGAAGAGTGGGACATGACTGAAACAACTGAACAACAACAAAAATACAGACTGTTGGAAAACTTCCTTCTGTGGAATATCTCATTCTTCACTGATGCTCTCTAAGTGAAATGGTGTTGTAATGACCTTCAGAGATCATAAAGACAAAAACTGTCACACAAGGAGAGTGAATAGTGACCAACAGACGAAATAACTAAACTTTTTTTCAGTCAATCAACAAGCAGTTATTAAGTATTTACTATGTGCAAAGTTCTGTTGCCATATTTGTTCTTTTTAGGTTTTAGAATGGTTGACCTATATTGGAACTCCATCCCTTTACAGATAGGGAAACTGAGGCACACAAAGGTTGTAAATGGCGTGACTACAGTCATGTAGTTAGTTAATGGGAGAGCCAGGGCTAATTCAGAATTGGAAAGGACCTCAGAGGCCATTTGGTCTAGCCCAGACCTCATAAAAAACAGGTCATCTTGTCTCATATTTGTTTAAAGACCTCCAGTGTGAGGGGAGATGCTGTGTCTTGGGGCAGCCCACTCTTTGAGATAACTCTCATGGTTATAGAGTTCTTTGCTCATAGAGGCCAGGTCTGCCTCCAGGTTGTTACTGGTTTGAGTTTGGCCTCCTGGAGCAAAGCTTGGCCGCACATATTTGAGGGTAGCTCTCGTCTCCCAGATTGTCTCATGTTCCGAAGATTCTTCTTTCCCCTCCTGGTCAGTATTCACTAGATTTCTTCAGCTTCTCAGTGTGTCTTCCTTCCTAAAATGTGGTGCTTCGAAAAGAACAGAACCCTGGACCTGGGCAGTGCCCATGCCAGGGAGGGACTGCTGCCTTCCCAGTCCTAGGTACTCTGCAGCTCCAGGCAGCCTGTTGGGGGGCCACCATATTACACCGTTGACTTGTCTTGAGCTTGCAGCTCTTTCAGACAAACCGCTGTCTGTTCCTGCTACTTCCTTATTTTAGGATCATAGATTTAGGACTGGAAGTCCAACCTCTTGATTTTACGGATTAGAAAACTGAGGCCTGAGAGATTAAATGACTGGCCTAGATCACAAACATAGGTCATTTGAATTGTAGTCTTCTGAAGTTCAAGTCAAGTGCCTTCTCCACCACACTTGATACTTAAGAAGCTGATTTTTTTTAACCCAAGACGTTTTTGTCCATATTTAATCTCATCATACTGAGTTCGCCTCAACATTCTAGCCTCTCAGGATTTAGCAGATTCTGACCAAAATCCAGTGTGTTAGCTGTCACTCCAAGCCCTGCCCTCCCAGTTCCTTCGTCTCTTCCATTCCTGTGACCTTTTCTAGAGGTGTCGTAAAGATCAAATGAGACACGTTGCAACCTTAAAGTGTTACAGAAATGCTGTTAGGGTGCAGCTAGTGGCCACACTGCTGGACCTGGAGTCCAGGACACCTAATTTCCAAGCCTGGGGCCCTAAGCTGTGTGACTCTGGGCAAAGCACTTCGCTCTTTGGTCACAATTTCTTCATCTGTAAAAGGGAGATGATAATAATAGCATCTGCCTCCCGGGCTTGCTGTGAAGGTCAAATGACATAGTGGATGTAAGACACCTTGCTAGCCTTAAATGTTGGCCATTATGATGACTGCGGTTGTTATCCTGCCTTTGAGTCATCTTTGTATGTGATAAACCGGCTCTTCACGTCTTGATCCAAGTCACTGGTCAACCATTGGGCTGCCCAGGGCCAAGCCCGTATTCCCAGGACCCTCCATTTCAAGGTGACATTGGCAAGTATTCATGCCGACTCTGGGCCATTCATTGGGTTCGAACTCCTATCTAACAGTACTACTGTCTAGCTCACAACTGTCTGTCTTTTCCAAGGGAGTAGAAGGAAAGCATTTGTCAAATGTTTCCCTAAATCCTGGCAAACTCATCTCTAGCATTCCCCTGATCTACCAGTGAGGTAACTACTGAAACAGAAATGAAGAGGTTAGTCTGGCATCTTTCCGGAGACCTTGGGATAGTCTGCAACCCCCTGCAATGAGCACACACAAAACCTGTGTGGCAGGGGCAGCTAGGTGGCGCAGTGGATAGAGCACCAGCCCTGAATTCAGAAGGACCTGAGTTCAAATCTGGCCTCAGACACATAACACTAGCTGTGTGACCCTGGGCAAGTCACTTAACCCCATTGCCTAGCCAAAAAACAAAAACAAAACCTGTGTGGTTTTAGCTGGGCCAAGGACAGAGGCAATGTCACCTACACACCAACATATAGATGCAGCCCAAAATCACACTCATTGTTTTCATCCGAGTCCAGTGGCTTAAACTCAAGAGTAGCTACTTGCTCTTCTCTTTTCAGTTTGGGGCTTCAGCTCCCTAATATCTTCTACATATTGTATTAAGCCTGAAGGTTTACAAAGCTTTTTTCATCACAACTAGTCTGTTGGGGATACAGTCGTGGAGGAATAGCGTGGCCTTATTCAAGTTACAGCTAGTGAGCGGCAGAGCCGGGCCTTGAACCTAGACTTTCTGATTGATTCCAAATCTGATTCTCCTTTCTCCTGCGTACCAAAGGCTTGGTAACAGTAGTTATTCTGTTCGGAACAGTGAAAGCAAGCCAACTCTAAGATTGTTAGCAGAGCCAGGAGGTCACAGAAACACCAGAGCTCAAGTGGCTTCTTGTATGAGGAAACAGGGAGAGGAGGAAGCTTGTTCATGCTCATGGACTTTGTACCTGAGTTGCCCTGGAGATTCCTGAAGGTGGTAGAAGTCAGTCAGTGGTTTGGCGTTTTGGGTCAGAGAAGAGCATTCTAGTATATGGGGATTCTGTTTAACTGATAGCAAGATATACCTGGATATGTGTTTTCAGCTAAGGGGATTATTAATAACAAATTCGTATTAAGCTTACTTCCTACTTTGCATGGCTTCTAAAATTTAATTACAGTTTGAATACTCTACTCCAGGGTTTCCCCAGTTAGGGGTAGACAAGGTCCAGGTGTTTTTGAGACAGCTTGATTTTAATTTGGCTGGCAGGGTGATGATGGAGTTACTGGATTCTAGTCAAAATAGGCCAGGGTATTTTGGGAATGAAAAGGTTCTGAGAACCACTGTGTGTGATCTCTGTTCTGCCTAGGGTATAATGCAACCGTTCTGGCCTATGGACAGACTGGCTCTGGCAAAACATTTTCAATGGGCAGTGCATATACTGCAGCTCAAGAGCATGAACCAACAGTTGGGGTCATCCCTCGGGTAATACAGCTACTTTTCACAGAAATGGACAAGAAGGTGGACTTTGAATTCACCCTGAAAGTGTCTTACTTGGAGGTAAGTGATGTATCTTCGAGTATTCTGAATTAAAAATAACTTCTGTTGAATTGAAAAGTAGACTGCCGGGGTGGGGAACCTTGACTGAATCCAAACTTCACAGAACAGATCCCCTTAATAAAAGGATTTGTTCTGTGAAGTTTGGATTTAGTCAAAAGGCCGCACCCGAGGACCTAGAAGGCCACATGTAGCCTCAAGGCCACAGGTTCCTAACCCCTGGAGTATGCTTTCCTCAGCCAAAACATATTTAACTTAAGAGGGGTTGTGAGGGTCAAATGGTAACGTATACAGATCTCTTTGCAAACCTTCAGTTTAGTGCTTTGGAAATATCGTTGCTACTGCTAGGCTAAGTTGGATGATCAAGCAGTAATGATGGCTGCATGTGTGGGTTGGGAAGCAGCGTAGTACCGTGGGAAGAACACTCACTGGCTGTGGAGTTAGAGAACCTGAGTTCAAATCCAACTTCTGAAGCTTATTTTCTCTATGACCTTGGGCAAGTCACTTGGCCTCCCTGGGTCTCCTTTTCCTCCTCAGTTAATTGAGGAGATTAAATGAGATATGGCCTTTAAGCACCTTCCAGCTCTAGATCAAGATCTAGATAACATATAAATACAGATAGATGGAGAAGTCAATAGCCACCTGACAACTTGAACATATGTATTTAGGGACCATTAGTATACTCTAAAAAATTAGATAACCATTTCCATAGGAGAGGAAAGGAGTTGTAGACAGTATTGCATCGTCAAAGAGAAGGAGGTAGGTTTTCAAATTAGACTTTTAAAAGATCTAACATGACCACCTATTTGATCCTGGTGGAGAGCCATGTGTGGAAGTTTGAAAGCAGGTTTCTTAACTTTTTTGTGTGTCATGAACCCCTTTGGCAGTCTGGTAAACCCATGGACTTCTTCCCAGATTAATGTTTTTAGATGAGTAAAATATATATGCTTACAAAGGAAACCAACTATATTAAAATCTAGTTATCACAGTATTTAAAAAAAACGTTTAGAGGTCCCCAAGTCAAGAACCTCTGGCATAAACTTCTTTAAACTCTTACTTTCCTGCCTAATCTAGGTATGGTTAAGGTGCTTTGGGTGTGAGCCCTACATTTAAGGACCTGGTATCTGGAAGCAAGCTAGTTGAACTTCTGTTGAGAAAGTGTTGTTGGCCTCCTCTGCTCTCTTAGGTATCTGTGGGATAAAAGCAGCGATGAAGGAGGCGGCTCTGCTACTAGATGGCCGAATTTGGGGGCATCTTTTAGCTCTGTTCTTTTATATATGTCTGCTGTTTCACCATGAAGAAAAACCTTAATTTAGTTTATACGGTATCCTTTAGTGTAAAAGCGAAATTTCTGGAATTTCATCTTTGGGTTTGAGGCTACTATTTTGGAGACTGGATGTCCCTATCTGACGCAGACTGGAAGTATATTGGCCAGATGCCACTACTGATCACCATGGGATCTTTGACCTACTGTTTCTGATCCCTCCTTAGGCAGCTTGGTTCCCCATCCCACCCCATTCTTACTGTCCTGGTGCTGGGCCTACTTCAGTCACCTTAACAAACTGCATCTCTAAGCTCCTGCCCTGCCAGCCTCAAGCTTCCTCTGGAGTAGGGATCACCAGTACCACCACCTATACCCAGCAGAAAGTGGCGACTTTGATGTTTTTCTTTTGTCATCTTGTTTTTAACAGATCTACAATGAGGAGATTCTGGACCTGCTATGTCCATCTCGAGAGAAATCCTCCCAAATAAATATACGAGAAGATCCTAAGGAAGGCATAAAGGTGAATTGCTTTCTTTTTGTGATACAGAAATGTTTGGCAGTGCTGATGGTAAGGTTCAGCTCACGAGCACTTATACATGCCTACTGTGTGTGTGAGGTACTGTGCGGAGTGCTGGGGATACAGAGAGAAAAATGAAACTGTCCCTGCCCTTAAGGAGCTATCATAAGTGAATGTGAACATCACACCTCCAGATTCTTGTAGCCCCCATTTTCTCTGAAGCCAGGGAATGCTAAATATATTCCTGAATGGAAACTTTTGGGGGTAGAGGCAAGGAGAAGAGAAAGCCACATTCAGTCTCTTAAGGATTCCCATTTCTGTTTTTATATATGCTGATAGCATCTAGGACTTGTTTAGAACACAGAAGCTTAGGGAACTTAAGTTGCTTAGGGAATACAGGAGTATAAGTCATATTTCTTACCCTCAGGTAGTTTAGAGTCTAATTGGAGAGGTAAGACAGACATACATGAAACGCTTAAATTACTGCCTTTTATTTTGTGTTATATAGGCAGTACATACTCAAAGAGATCAATGTAGGTTAGAGCAGTCAGGAAAAGTTTTCTGGAAGAGGCGTTACATTTATGTTGGATTAGACCTTTAAAAGATGAGTCTGTAGAAGAGGTGCTTCCTTCTAGACAAAGAGAATGTGAAGTATTTACTGCGTACTACTCTATACAAGTCCTACTCCACTGCCTCATCATGGCATCGAGGCTACCCTGGATTCTCAAAGGCTGTGCCAGTGGGGCAAAACGGACATTTTCTACCGAACTGAAAACACTTTGAGGATGGTTCCATATGACAGGCTGTAACTCCTATCTTTAGACCAGCCTAGTTAGGTATGGAAAGGCTCATCACCAGCAGGTTGGCCACTAGGTGATGAATTTATTTGGCCACGGCAACCCATAAAACAGATAAAACTACATTTGTGTGAGACCCACTTCTCCTTCTGCAGTGATGGTGGCAGAGTGGTGTGAAACGGGGCAGAGGGTGCTAAGCATCCCTGCTTTTAGACTTTATGTAAACCATTAATTACCTGTTGGTGTGCTAAACATGAACTCTTTGTCCGACAACCCACGTGTGGAAATGCTCCTGGAGGATCTGAATTGTGTCAACATTGAGATTCTTGCTCTAAATGAAACCAGAAGACCTAAAGAAATGCCTTCTACATGGAAAGGCCACTTGAATTCTCTTAGGAGAAGCGAATAAAGGAGTTAGTGGAGTTGGTTTTATTGTGTGCCCAAAGGTAGCAAGAAAAAAAAGATCATTTTGTGGAATACCTGCTAATCTCACTTTGCAGTGTTCATAACAAGCATAAGCAAAGAGACCAACGTAAATGTAATTGTAGCTTATGTGCCAAGATCTGTTGTGGAGAATGAAGTAGAGAGATTCTATGAAGGACTCAACAAGATCCTCCAAAATAAGTTTATGAGTAAATCCGAAGATACTAGGTGTAGGGCAACATCTCAAAAAAAGAAACAAACAGAAAAACAAACAAACAACATCTCAAAAAAAGAAAGCCAACTTCATAACACATAACAAAGGACTAGTTACTTATGGGGGCATCATTTTAAAGTCAGCCATCTGTGTAGTTAGACCTTGGGCTAGTTAAAACAAAGGTCCAAATCAGCTCCAAGTTAGAAGAAAGAATAAAGATAAGAAAATACTACACGTCATTATAATAGCTCCCACTCTGTTTAAATGAGCTGACACTAAGCAGTGTGAAATGGTTAAAAGTCAAAACTTCTCTGATGACCATGATTCCATAGGGAATTTTAACCAAGGTAAACAGTCTTGATAAGGAGGGAGTCAAAAAGGACACATAACTTTAGCCAGCACAACAGTTTTTTCTGCTTGGCACCAAGTTTATCAAAGTTGAGGACAACATTTGTTTCAAGTACCAGCTCACTCTAAAACCCCATGGAGAAAGCTAACAGATGATCACAAACAATGTTTCACAAAATAGTGTAAAGAAGTCGTTGGGGAAATGAGTTTGCAGAAAGTTTGGCATGAGACCCAACTAAGCCAAATCATCCTGTGAGAATGGAAGGACAACAAAATAGAACAGATTTGTTGTAGCAGTCGAGTATCATTGCTGGCAACGGAACCATATTTGGACACAAAAACATCAGTAGCTGTTGGGCAAGAAAGGATCTGGCAAGGGCTTTTAAGAAAATGAAGCTGAAAAGAGCTGTTGCACCTGACTGGGCACATGAAGAAGACAAGAGCCTCACTAGAGGAGGTGTCAAGAGAACAGAGAACTCACTCTGTATTTATCACCCAACAAGGGTGACTGAGCTGACTGAAGCTATCAACCTCTCTATTACATTCTACTTTCTCATCTCAGCAGAATCTTTGCAGGTGGATTGCATACTCAACAGGGATATCTTGATGAAAAATGGAAGGGAACAGACAGCCTTTTGCCAATGACTTTATAACAGACCACATTTCCTGACAGAAAACTATAGAGAATACAGTATCCTGTTGTGTGTGTCCTGTTGACGTGGCAGAGTAAAACCTAACCTTCAAAGACTTTGCACAGTGTATCATGGGGTATGTGTTGCAAGCTCCCTTGGTAACACAACTGATCATCATTCTCGGGAAATAGATGGTCCTCGAAGGTGTTTTACACGAACCTCCTCCATCCCAGGAGCGGAGTCCAGATGGAAGAATTACCTGTGGTTGGGGAGGTCTTCTAGGAGTTCTTCTTTAGGGATAACATTGTTTGGATTGTATCAGGCCTTAGAATGCTACACAACTTCCTTAGGAGATTGGCCTATTAGTCATTCTTACATATTGCTCAGATATATGCATTTGGATGAATAATTTGTTGGCTTAGTGCATTAGTATAGGCACCTTGAACAGACACTGCGAACTCAGAATGAGTAGGGCCTAGAAGTGAATAGGAGGAAGAGATTGAGCTGAGTTACTTTTGGGCCATCACATAGTTCTTTCACTGAAACTTAGTTGCTGCTTGACATGCAAGACCATCTTTTCAACACCAGTGTTTTCCTAACAGTAGTACCTGGCTATAAATCGTGGAGCCTCATGGTCTCTGAAGAATCCAGATTGAAGATGTCCTGAAGGACAGTGGAGAGACACCTTATGGGCATAAATAGACCATATCATCTTCCCAAAGGCGACTTACACGTAAAAAGTTGGCGCAAAAGACATAATCAAAAATGCATATGCTCCGAAGAGGGGTTGGGCCAGTCATGCAATGAGAACAGGAGAATACCCTTAGTGTTAACTTTTAACGAAATGTTCAGAGACCCTGAGGAAAACTTCCAACATGCCAATTAGTTTCTCCATAGAATTGTGAAAGGACATGGACAAGAATGACACAGGATGAGAAGGCGTGCATGGGTTGTGATCTAGACTGGTGGAGGGAGCACCCACATCGATGAGATCACTGATCCATTGACGTATCAAAGTACATGTAAAAGGTACTGTGCCAAAACCCCCTGGGAGTGAGGATGGGGGTGGGAGCAACAAAATAAGGATGAAACATAGTCCCTGCCCCCAGCAACTGCTTGACTGAGGCAATAACCTAAATAATCCAAGTACTAAAAAATAGTATACACCAAGGAGTGTGGTCTTGTGGAAGAGATCACTAGATTTGCAGTCAGACCATGAGTTTGAATCCCAGCTCCTGTTACTTCTGGGTGACTTTGAAAAAGTCACTTTCCCTTGTGGAGTTTCTGCTTCCCCTTCTGAAAAAAGAGGAAAAAAAGGGAGAGTTGGACTGGCTAACTACCACTATTATAAAAGCTAGCCATTGGACTAGATGATCCCTAAGATCTCTCTTAGCTCCCAGTCCTCTGATACTATAAAGATTAAATGAATGACCCCAACAAAGTTTGGAGGAAGGAAAGATCACTTTGGTCTACAGAGGTTGAGAAAGGGATAGAGAAAGAATGATAGTGGTGACAGGGAGGATGTGCGAGACCTGGGCTTGAAAAGAAACTCTTGGGGGGGGGGTTGTTAGATTGGGGACTTTTCAACTGCTTAACTTCCCTGCCTCTACCCTACCCCCACCTCAATCACTTTTATTGGCTGGAAATGTGCTTAGAAAGGTTTGTTGACACTGAATTAGACATGACCCCAGATTTGTACCTGAACAAGAATCCCTTTTGTGATCTGCCTTTCCCTGAGGACCCCCAGTCAGAAGGACCCCACTATCTCCTGGTGTCATACATTCCACTTGTGGATAGCTCTAATTGCTAAGAAGTTCTTCCCTAGGTCGGACCTCAGTTTGCCTCTTTGCAGTTCTTGCATTCTGATTCTAGTTCTGCCCTCTGGGGCCAAGCAGAACAGATCTTATCCCACATGACGCCACTTCAAAGATAGTTATCCCATCTCTCAGACATTAACCCCTCACCAACCAAGGTCTTCTCCAGTTTCTTCAACTGAGTCCTCCTATGGCATGATCTCTCAGTGTATTTTTTTTCCTAAGGACCTCCACAATTTTTGTCAGAACCCACAGGTATTTAGGCAGGGTTTGAAGGTTTGGGTCAGATCAGGCATTGAGTCTCGATTCTAAGTACTCAGATAATCAATCGATCAACATTTTTTAATTGCCTACTGTGTCCCAGGCATTTTGTTAAGCACTGGGGATGTGGAAAGAGGCAAAAGATAATCCCTGCCCTCAAAGAGCTTCCCATCTAATGCTAAAGCCCTTAAGAAGGTCAAACCTGGCTAGCATGAGCCATTGAAGTAAAAAATACCCAGCAGGCAGTTAGAGGTGTACATCGGAAGGTCAGGGATAGAGATGAAGAATTAGGAATTATGATGAAATCAGGCTTTATAGAGTGGGAAGGAACCTTAGAAGAAGTCTGGTTCAGTCCCTTCATTTTACATATAAGAGAATCAAGGTCCAGAGAAAAGATTTACCCACAGTTGTACAACTAACTACTAGTAGACCTTGGATTAGCACCCACGTGTCCTGACTTCCCAGTCCAGTACTATTCCTCCTATGTCATCTCATAGTAAAACGGAGGAGAAGACAGGGAGAAGGTGGAAAAGAGAAACAGTTGTATTCCATACTTTTGTCTTCTGGTGTTGGTTCCAGGGGAGCTCTCAGTCAAGACTCCCCTAAAATCAGAGATTATTTTCCAGCCCCTTTGCCCTGGGGCCTCTCGTGCAGATGAGAGACTGAAGTGCATCCTGCTACCGAGCTTTGTGTCTCTTAAGACTGCTGGAGTTCAGAACGATCACTAGCTTGTGATATGGATTCACCAGTCCTTAAAAACAGTCTAGTTTCCATAGTTGTCAATACAGTGAGGTTTACTAAACCTATCCTGAAACATAAAGATAGCACTTTCCCTCCACGAGCCTTGTCTTTGGTCAGGCACTTGAGTTATCACAGGGAAATTTTTTCTTCCTTTTGAATTAGATCATAGGACTCACCGAAAAGACCGTTTCACTTGCCATGGACACCGTGTCCTGCTTGGAGCAGGGCAACAACTGTAGGACTGTGGCCTCCACCGCTATGAACTCCCAGTCTTCCCGATCTCATGCCATCTTCACCATCTCCATTGAGCAGAAGAAGAAAAGTGACAAGTAAGTTTATGATATCTACAGTCAACATTTCTCATGTGTTAACTCTACTGAAGTTGGAAGTGCTCAGATTGAATTGGCATAACACCTGATCTGTTGATAAGATTATATAAGTTAGCTCTGATGCTGGATTCTTGCTAGAAGCCGTAAATGCTGGTTCCACCAGGCATCCTGTCTTTATCACAGGAACAGTAGCTTTCGATCCAAGTTACATCTTGTAGACCTGGCTGGTTCAGAAAGGCAGAAGAAGACGAAGGCTGAAGGAGACCGTCTAAAAGAAGGTAAGAACATTTGACACCGGCATTGTAGACAAAAGTCATTTAACCCTGAAAAGGTGGCAGGTGTAGGAAGCCAGGAGAAAGTGGGCAGCAAAGGAGGTGGATCAAGGCTGCTTGAAGATGCTTGCTGACAGCAGGGCCATTTGGGCAGATATTTCTTAAACCAATATTTTGAGAATTTAAATTTTGAACCTAAACACTAATTTCCGTATACAGAGCAGAACACAAAAAGAAGATTGTGTGTGAAACCGTCTCCATTTTATAATGCTTTTTTTTTTAAACTATAAATTCCATACTTTACTTTCAAAACTTGCCTGTGTTTCTTTCTGTTCTTTTCTGCGTGTTTCGGTGGTCCTCTTTTTTTTCGGGGGGGGGAACAATCAAAATATAACCTCCTTCTCCCAGGGTTTCACCCCACCCCCACCCCCTAGATCTTTGAGGTTCAGAGCACTGTGTCTTCAAGGCCAACTATGGCATCTTGGAACTGGATGCCAGGGACCTTGGATCTGTGGGCTTTGTCAGTCAACATTTATAAGCATGCGCTGTGTACCAGGCACTGAGCTAGGTGCTGAGAATGCAAAAAGAGGCAAAAGACAGTCCCTGCCCTCAAGGAGCTCACTGTCTAATAGAGAAGACTGCAGTCAAACACATATGTACAGGTAAGCTCTATACAAGACAAAGGGGAAATTATTAACAGAAGGAACACACTAGAATTCTGAGGGGCTGGCAAAGACTTCCTGGAGAAGATAGGATTTTAATTGGCCCTTAAAGGAAGCCCAAAGGTAGAGATGAGCAGAGAGAGCATTCCAGGGGTGGGCCATGGCCGGAGAAAATGTCTGGATTCAAGAGATGAAGTGTATTTTTCCCTGGAGCAATAGAACTGCCTGAGCATGTGTCAGCGACTAAGGTGTAAAAAAGACGAAAGGTAGGAGGGGGCTAGGTTCGAAAGGGCTTTGAATGCCAGAGGATTTTATATTTGACTCTGCAGGTGAGAAGGAGTCACCCAAGTTTACTGAAAAATTACTTTGGAGGCTGCCTAGTGGATGAATTGGAGTGGGGAGTGAGTGGCAGTGGGCGGAGCCACCAGCGGGCAAATGAAGCAGTCCACATTCATCCTGGCGGCTACTCCCTGGCTATAGCTTTACTTGTTCTGCATAGAGTATTCTGAGTGCAGATTTGCACCACAGTTTTGTACAAGGGTAGAATAACATTTTTTATTTTGTTCCCAGCATTCTTAGCGATAGACACAAAATGGTGGATCTTTTGGGCTGCAGCCTCACAATGAGTTGTATATTTGCCATTGCTGCTTTCCCATCTCTCCTAGCTATCCTCCTTAATTTCAATTCAACAAACTTAATATTAAATGGTCATAATATAGAATCAGAATATATTTTTGTTACCTATACTTAATTGGATAAAATGCTATGTAACTTCTTCTAAAAAGCATTTAGAGTAAACATTTTTTATTTCTCAAAAAAACAAACCAAACCCCAAAACACCTATATAGACTTTAGATTAACTTCCCTCTCTATCCCCTCGAGTGGCCCACTGGGCCTCAGTGGAAATAAGTTCTGCACCTTTACTGTAGCTGACAAAGTTGCATGAAATCCTGCGGGTGACCTCAGAAGGCAGGATCAGAAAAGGTTCTTCTTTTTTCTGACCCTGTTTGTACTGTCTCAGCCTCAAATAATCCAGGAGCAGTAATTTTCTTGAGTGCCCATATTGTATACATTTTTCTTGAATGCTAGTTACTTTAGGGATATTGTAAAGAAGTTTTTATTTTTTCTAAAGATGGAACTACTCAATTTGAGAAATAAATTCGAGTATATTTGTTTAAAAAATTAGAACCAATTACCTTATCTTAAATATAAGATATAGGAGTTCAGAAGAGGAATATTAGTGTAAGTTAAAGTAGTTGAAGAAGGATTATTGATGGAAGTGAACACTGACAGGCACATAATAGAAACAAATTTGGATCGACAGAGGGAAAACCATGAGCCAAGATAGTGAGAGGGGAATTCATAGAGTGTTGTCAAAAAACAGTGTAGAGACTGACCCCACTGGAGCAATGGGGACATGTAGAGAGGAAGGAGAAGTGACGTAATCTGGTGTCAGATTATAGAGAACTTTCGAAGACGCTTAGAGGAATTTGGACTTGATGCAGCAGGAAGTCAGGAGTTCTTGCAGGTTTGTAAGCAGAGGAATGGCCTAAAAGTGATTTAAAGGAACATCAGTTTGGCAGCATTGATTAGGAAGGACCCATGGTATGGGGATTGGGAAAGAGATGGAAACAGAGAGGTTAACTCAAAGGTTGCACTAATCTAGGTATGAGACCTCTCTTAGGGTAGTAGAAGGAATGGGAAGTAAGAAACGGATACATTTGGAAAGAAGAATCAATAGGAGTTGGCTGGCCAGATAGAGGGAGTGACAGACACAGATGACTCTAACCTTGATTGGCTGGGAAAACAATGATGCCACTGACCAAGGAAAATTGGAAGATTTCCTAGGAGAGGGAAACAGAGTCAGATAAGAGGGAAAGGGTGACTTTTGTTTTTGTACTTTTGAGATGAGGTGAGGTGATGGGGAGACAGCTAGAGCTATCTTCTGTAGTCAGTTGTAGTTCAGGTGAAGGAGCAAGGCTGGAGGTCTAGATTTAGGAGGGATCAGCATTTGTAAATGAAATTTTGATAATAGATGAGTTCTCAGAATTAGCAGAAAGAAAAGGATAGAGCCATAGAGAAACCCCCTATAGTTAGAGAATGAAGGAAAGAAAAGGAGTCATTGATGTAAACAGAAATCGTTGATGAGGGAAGAGAATCTTGTGAATATAGTGTCATAGAGGCCAAGAGAAGAAAAACATTTCAAGAAGAATGGGGTGTGGGGTAGCTAGGTGGCACATTGAATAGAGCATCAGCCTTGGAGTCAGGAGGACCTGAGTTCAGACACTTGACACTTACTAGCCATGTGACCCTGGGCAAGTCACTTAAGCCTGATTGCCTCACCAAAAAGCCAAAAGAAGAAGAAGAATGGAGTAGTCAGCCGTGTCCTGTTTCAACAAGGTCAGTCAGTCAATATATACTTATTAAATACCATGTGCTAAGCACTGAGGATACAACTTCCCACAGTACCTGCTGCTAAGGAACATGCATTCTATGGAGACAACATATAGATATCTACATACGTATAAGATATTCAGAGAAGGTAGAAGGTAATCTGAAAGGGGAAGCCATTAGTAACTGCAGAGACCAAGAAAGACCAGCAGAAAGTGGAATTTGAGCTGAGTCTTGAAGGACACCAGGGAGACAAAGAGCAAAGGGTTTGGAAGTAGGAGATAGGAGTGTTGTGTTGGAGGAACAGCAGAAAGGCCAGTGTCACTGAATCATGAAGGGGAGTAAGGTATAAGGAGACTGGGGAGGGAGGAAAGGGCCAGGCTGTAAACGGAGGAGTTTATATTTGATCCTGGAGGTAATGGGGACCCTTTGGGGCTCCCTGGGGAGTTGAGGGGTGGGGAGAGTCTGATATGGTCAGACCTGTGATTTGGAAAAAGCACTTTGGCAGTTGATTGGAGGATGGACTGGAGTGGTGAGAAACTTAAGGCAGGGATCATCGTATCAAGGAGTGAGGCGTAAGAAGACTGGGAAGGTAAGAGGGAGCTAAGTTATGCAGAGCTTTGAGTGGCAAACAGCATTTTGTATTTGATCCTGGAGAAAATAGGGAACCACTGGAGTTTAGTGAGTAGGTAGGGTGCCATGATTGAGCCTGTGCTTTGGGAAAATCACCTTGGTGATTAAATAGAGGATAGATTGGAGTGGGGAGAGACTTGAGGTAAGCAGATTCCCATGTGTGTCATCCCCACCCCCCAAAGCTATTGCTATAGTCTAGGTATGAAGTGATGAGAGCCTGCATTAGGATGGGCGCAGGGTCAGAGGAGAAAAGGGGGCATATACAAGAGATGTTACAAAAGTGAAATCAACAGGCTTTAGCAACTGGTTGGATTCAGGGGGTGAGACAGAGTGAGGAGTCCAGGATGACCCCTAGGTTGGGAATCTGAGGCTTGGGGAGGGTGGGGTTGACCTTTATAGTAACAGAGAAGGTAGGAGGTGAGGAGGGTTTAGGGAAAGACAATGAGTTCTGTTTTGGAGATATCGAGTTTAAGATATCTACTGGACCAAGATTAGAGGTCAGCAGAGAGGTTGGGGCAGGGTAGGTAGATTTGAGAATCATCAGCATAGAAATGGTCATTAAATCCGTGGGAGCTGAGGAGATCACCCGGTGAAATAATTTAAAGGTAGAAGAGAAGAGGACTCTGGACAGAACTGTGAGGGACAAAGAAGGCATGATATGGAGAAAGATCCAGCAAAGGAGACTGAGGAGAGGTCAGATAGGTAGGAAGAGACCCAAGAGAGAGGGGAGTGTCCTGAAAACCTAGAGAGAAGAGAGGATGATGGGGGAGAGAGTGACCCACAGTGTCAAAGGCTGCAGAGAAGTCAAGGAGAACGAGGACTGAGAAAAGGCCTTTGGATTTGACAATTAAGAGATCACTGCTAACTTTGGAAATAGGCATTTTGGTGGAATGGTAAGATTGAGACTGGATTGTAAAGGGTTAAGAAGAGGGTGTAAGGAGAGGAAGTGAAGGCAGCTATTGCAGACAGCCTTTCAGAAGAGATTAGCAAGATTCTTCAATGTAGGATCATGGTTATCTGGAATGGAAGGAGTAAACAGGGTTCTTTGAGAACGGGGAGACATGGGCATGTTTGCAGGCAGCAGGGAAGGAGCCAGAAAACAGGGAGAGACTGAAAATAAGTGAAACATGAAGTGAACATTAGAGTACATTAAAACATAGAAAATATGAATTTGTGGTTTTCTAAGTCAATATGCTATTTGCAGGAATCCTTATACACGGTTTAGTGACCCCTATTTCTATTTGAGTTTGACATCACTGGTACAAGGTATCCTCAAAGTCTTAGAAAATCACTAAAACTTTTGAGATACCCTGAACAATATGCTAAGTAGATAGGAGATATCAGACGTGCTATTAAGAGTTGAGATAGATCAGTCTGAGCTGGGAGCATCAGAGACGGCTCTATGGAAGAGCTGGATAGAGTGAAGGGGTAGAATGTCAGCTGACAGATATGGAGGCATTCCAGCAGCACAAGAAGAGACTGAGGTCTGAAAATGTGGGGGATGGAGGTTACAGAGTGAGTAGTCTAGCTTCCCTGGTACGTAAAGCTTCCAAAGACAGAACAAAAGGTGGGAGCATTGAAGCGATTGCAGCTAGATCAAAAGACAGGTGTAGGTATTTCTTCTTTATTTGCTAAGCAATGGGGAGCTAGCAAAGGTTTTTGAATAGTGAAGCGACGTGATTAAAAGGCTGCATTAAGAAGATTCATCTGCATAGGACAGACTAAAAGGGAGAGACGAGAGGTGGGTTGGGCTGTTAGGCTAAACCAGGTTACTTTTGTTTCTCTGATGAAGAATGAAAGACACCAACAAATTGGACTATGCAGTGTGCCAATGAATAACCTAAACACCTCATCAAGCTCTTTGAACTCCATTGGACTAAATGCTTCGTGCCAGGTTTCCTTCCACCTGCTTTTCCTGGAGAACTAAGTGAGACTTTAACTTTGAGTTTCTAGTGTTTCTCTAGACTGTTCTTTTTCCCATTTCAGGAAAAAGAATTCTAATGCACACTAAATCTACATAATTTTGATTTCTCTCTTTCCTTACTTGTAGGTATTAATATTAACAGAGGTCTTCTATGCCTGGGAAATGTAATTAGTGCACTTGGAGATGACAAAAAGGGGGGCTTTATCCCCTACAGAGATTCCAAGTTAACCCGGCTGCTTCAAGGTAAGTCCCCACCAGCCTCTGAACAAAGGGACAAACTCTCAGGGTAATGATTTGGGAAAGGGAGAAACTGGGAACTGATAAAATTCAAACTTTGATTTGTGTTAGATATGGGTCTGTGACCAGGTAAAAGGTGGTAAGAATGGCAGGCAGCTTTCGGGGACAACAGAAAGCTGGCCTGGTGGCTGAAGCACACCCAATAACACTTAACACACTGGTGGCTAAAAAGGATGCTCATCAGTATCTGCTAGTCCAGGGATGGGAGACCTGCAGCCTTGAGGTCACACGTGGCCTCCTAGATCCTTAGATCCCACAGCCTTCTGACTGCATCCAAATGTTAACAAAGGCCAAAGGTCCCTGTGCTAGACTAGTGGTGTTCAGGGAGGGTGCCATGCTGGGTTAAAATTCACCAAGAGGAGACCTCCTGAGAATGTCTAATGACAAAAGGGGCATTAATATGATTAGACTAGGTCTTGGTGATGGCTCTTTAGAACAGCAGGAAGCCCTTTCTCAAGTAAGATTAGGGGACAAGTAGAGTCACCCTAGAAATGAAAAACTTAGCACTTCACAGATGGTAGGAGGCACCACATCTCCACCATAGGCCTGTATGGTCTCTTAGAGCCTCCAGATTTGAATTCATCAAGCAAAATCGACAGCTTTTTCTGCATCTTCTTTACTTGGTTTCAACTCCAGAGCACTGTTCTCTTTCAGACTCACTAGGTGGTAATAGCCATACTCTCATGATTGCCTGTGTGAGTCCTGCAGACTCCAACCTAGAAGAAACAGTGAATACACTGCGCTATGCCGACAGGGCAAGAAAAATCAAGAATAAACCCATTGTCAACATTGATCCCCAGACGGCTGAACTTAATCATCTGAAGCAACAGGTACTAGAGGCAAAATTTGATGGTAGTCAGTGGTATTACTGAATTTGAATTATTGTCTAAATTTATTATTATCGTGGGCTTAAAGAGATAGTGAATTAGTGCTGGGACATAATCACATAATCACATTTGTTAATCTTGTTTTGCAGGAGAAGATATTACTAGGGGTGGTGGTTCTTTCTAAGATGGTCTGGCCAGTTCAAAAGCATTAATGGACCCCTACTGGATTTCTTCTTTTTACCATGCCCTAAAAATTACTTCATCCAAAATCTCAGGATGCTATAGAGGTAGTCTGCAGTGAGATAGAGATTTTCTGCCGTACATATCTCAAAGACATAGAAGAGAATCTCTGGACCTGAGTGCCAGAGATCTGTATTTGCTTTGGTTAAGCATGCAGTAGCCTACCTAATTGGGTATATAATTGTTTGGCCCCCACCAAGAATCTATTAAGTAATCTTAGACTTAAAATGTTAGAGCTGAAAGAGACTTTGGAGGTAATAGGGTCTAACCCGCTAATACTCATCAGCTCTTCCTCCCAACTTCCTTATTCCTGTAAGTTGAATCACCGTTGTTCCAGAACTTCTCTTCATTCATTCTCCAAAAGCAAATCTTATCTACTTTTTTCCTTCCGAATGGCTCGTGCCTGTCCTTTTCTCTACATCCTCACTCATCCACAATCCCTGTGTTTCTGGATAAAAACAGTCTCCCTACAAGCAGCGTCTGTATCGAGTCTTTCCTTCTGCTCCCCTTATTTGGATCCGTTCTCCCTACTGCTGCCAGATCAGTCTTCCTCAAAGATTGAGTCTTCTCCTCATTCTTATAGTCAGAAACCTTCAGTGGTTCATGCTTCCTGCTACAGAAAGTCTAAAGTCTTCTTCCACATTGTTGGGACCCTCCATCATGCACCCTTATTTCTATCCAACCCTATTTCTCACAGTTTCCCCAACACACACACTGTGCTTCTGTCAGGCCACTTGCTTCACTGTCCTGCCGATGTATTTTGTTCATTCCTATCATTTCTTCCTGCCTGGAATGATCTTTCTTCTCTTCTTAGCTTCTCTGAATCCTATCTGTTCTTCAAGACCCTGCTCACCTCGAACCTCTATGAAGCCTTCCTATTTAGCACCCTACTTAATGTCTGACACCCAGCTATCTTAATGCCTTTGCTTTTGAGTCAGGTTTGTTAGTCATGTCTCCAAACACATCTCAGTCTTGCATTCTGTACACACACACACACACACACACACACACACACACACACACACACAGAGCCTAGCATGATGCTAAGCATGGAATAAGTACTCAGTAAATACATTGGACTTTTTGCTTTGGTAAGTGGTGATGGCTCATCCTAACAGCAATGGATAGTGGGACCAACTTAATGCTATTCCTTTATTGGTCACCTCATAAGCATTTACACTTCTGCTTCCTTCCTTTAGCATCCAAGATTGCCTGAAATTTAATAGGCATCGTGTGAAATGAAAATGTTCCTAATCCTGGTAATTAATTGAACTTCCAAGGGATAAATAGCTTTTGGTTGATGAGGTTATTGTTTTCCTTGATTCTTCAGGTCCAGCAGCTGCAAGTCTTGTTGCTCCAGGCCCATGGAGGGACCCTGCCCGTGTCTATCAAGTAAGAGTTGGGGACCAGTGAGAGTGGCTTCTTGTCCAGTCCTCTTGTACCCAGTCTTGTCGGGGCTCCTGACATCACTTGACACAAGTACAACGATCCTAATTTGTTGGTGCTTTAGTATCTGGCAGGTTGTCTTTCTAATTCTCTTCCTTTCATTCGGACTGGGTGACGCACCTGTATTCGAACAGGATGTTACATGGGGGAAAAAATGGCACCAACCAGGATTTGCTTTGGTCCAATCCCTGCACTCTCAGTTTCTTTGAAGTTTTGATTCCTTTTTTGGGCTTTTAGAATTCATTCATTTCCAAATATACCCTCCACTCTGACTAATACAGAAAGCCTTATCCTATACAAAATATATTTTTTTTAAGTTTGGCAAGACCAACTGCATTTAACTGTAAATACAAAATGCCATGCCTTTCTGATGAATGGAGGGCAGCCGTACATTGGCTTTAGTTGTAATTTAGTCTGGCCTTGGTTTACATAGGTCCATGCAGTCTGAGCTGGCCATTCCAGATTCCAACCTACCTCCAGATTCCTGTGTAGCTTAAAGCTTTGGCCTATAGCAGGAATGGGATCTGAAAACTTAGTTTGAATCAGACATTTGAAACGCACTATATAGAAGCTAACATACAGATCTGACAGATCTTATCCCTGTTCTAAAAACCTTTGGGCATTTGTTTTCGTGAGTATTTAACCACTTGTGGAGATATAGCAAGTTTGTTGTTGGTTTTTAATGCATTCAAATACTGAGATGTCTAAAAACACTTATTGTACATGAAACCTCAACCATGATATCATTTTCAAGGGGAAAAAAAGGAATGCAATTCCAGTGAGGGAATTGATGGAGAAGACAGGGGTCAAGGGCATATGTAGAAGGGTTGGCCTTGGCAAGAAGGGCAACTTCATTGGCAGAGCCTGCCAGAAAGGAGGAAAAGGTGGCAGACAGTGCCAGGGAACCTTGAAATGGGGACAAGGGGAGAAGCTGGAGCTTCCAGTGAATGGCCTCCATTTTCTCAGTACAACGGGGAGGTGTGAGAGGCTTGAGAAGAGTAGACATGGTTCAGAGAAGCTTTTGTGGGGAGTGAGATAGTCAATCAGGTCAGAATGAAAGGGTTGTTTTGCTGCAGTGAGGGTTCTGACATAGTCCATAATGATGGGAAAAGACAATAGTCTGGTCACAGGATTGTGGAAGCCAGGTGGACAACCAGAGTACTTCACTGGTGCCCTCATGAAGAAATGTTGGGGCAGATCCCTGTGATGGTCTTCAGAGAAGAAGGCGCCAAGCAGTTCATCGCATGGGCAGTCATGGATGGGCTTCAGTCCTCATCATGGGAGGGAGCTTGCAAATGGATTAGCTCAAAGACTCAGTGGGGTATGGGGTGGTGAGATGGGACTAGAAATACCCTTTGCACCATACTGCTATCCCATTTTCCCAAAAGTTTTTATTGAATAATGAATTCTTTCTTCAGAGTTTTTTGATCTGGACTATATGATCTGTTCCATTGATCTATTTCCCCCCAGCCCCCTTTAAAAAAAAAAAACCCAGTGCAGTACTAAATCATTTTAATAGCTATTGCTTTATGCGGGGGCGGGGAACCTGCAGCTTCAAGGCCATGTGTGGCCTACTAGGTCCTCGGGTGCGGCCTTTTGACTGACTCCGAGTTTGACAGAACCAATCTTTTCGTGAAGGGGATTTGTTCTGTGAAGTTTGGACTCAGTCAAAGGGCCTCACTTGAGGACCTCGAGGGCCACGTGTGACCTCTGGCCACAGGTTCTCCACCCCTGCTTTATAGTGTGAGAAGTGGTGTCAAGTCAACAAACATTTGTTAAGTGCTAACCATATACAAAGAATGGCAAAAACAGTCCCTGCCCTCAAGGAGCTCCCAATCTAACAGGCATAGTTGTTGGATTCACTGGGATTTGGAACCAGGAGGATCCGGGCTTCTAGAGGCCAGTGACTTCTTTGAGCCTCATTTTCCTTGTCTGTAAAGTAGATAGTGCCTGCAGTATGGGCTAGTGAGATTCAAGAGAGATAATGGTTCTGGTGCTTCCTGTCTTTAATTGCCACGGTAAATGGCCCCTGTTAGAAGCCGACTTCTGGAAGTCTATTTGCCTTTCATTTCCTAATTTCTCATTCTATTCTTGTTCACTAGTTCTTTCATATGGTTTATTATCACTTCATAAGAGCAGATAAGACCACCCTTTAGGATTTTGATTAATGTTACATTAAACTGACCACTTTGGCTCTACTCAGGCATGACATCCAATTGCTTAATTTTTTTCCCATTGAGTTTTCCCCACATAACTACTGAATGCAATTTCTTCAGAACTCTATTCTAAAGTGTGGGCCTTTTCTTTTTTTTTCACTGCTTTGAGGTGTTATTGATTTTACCTACAGCTCCTGTGTTATTTGGTACATATGGTTGATAATGGTACCTTTTCATCATGATATTCCCTTGTTTTCTTCCTATGGTGATTACACGTGGAAGGAACCCACTGGCTTTTTGATATATTTCAGGCTCTTTCTTCTTGTTTTTCTGTACCTTAAGGTTGCCTCTGGTTGTCATCAGTTCTTCACACCTATGAATTCTTATGTGACAGTCTTTTATTTTAGAAAAGAGGATTTGTGATTGAATTCCTTTCTCTGAGCTTCCATCTGCTTCTCTCATTTCCCATTTTTATACAAGAATCTTGTGCAGTTCAAATTGATGGCTTTGTTTATATGAGATGGTTTTCTTTGGGCCAACTTGTAAAATCATCTTCTTGTCATTATCCTGAACTTTGACAATATGTCTGATTAAATGGAATTTAGGGCTCACTCCTTTGGGCAGCCTGTAAATTCTATTCATTTATAATCTCCCTACTTTTCCAGCTTGGAAATTTTCTTACATAATTCCCTGAAATATAGTCAGCCTCTTTTCTACCCTCCTTAGAATATCATTGTCCTGAGTGCCTGGAGCTGTTTTTGCATTTCTTTGCGTCCTCAGCGCCGGATATGTGGCACGTGATGAGAGCTTGTTAAATGCTTGTTTGATTTTCTTCACTGTTTTTATGAAGCCCAATAATTCTTATTCGTTTTTTCTGCTTGTTCTGTGTTATGAATCCATCATGACTTTTGTTTGTCTTGAGTCTGGAATTTTTTCCCATTGTAGAATTTCTCAGGTTTTGTTTTGTACATTACCTACTGTTTCTACCTTCTACCTTCTGTCTTCCAGTAGAATAATCTTTTTTTGTTTTTCAGTTGAGCCAGTTGCTTTGTTTCTCTTTTACGTAGCTTTTTGCATACTTCTTCATCAATATGTTCATAGATTCTAGTCATACTCTATTCCTTGTTTTTCCTTTGAGAGTTTCTAGTAGTTTTTGTTCTTTTGGTTGTTGAGTGATTTGTTTGAAGAAGATATTGAGCAGAGAGGACCTTTCACTCCTCCATCATCCCAGGAAGTCCTTGTCCATTCATTTTCTTTTGCTTTTTGGTGAAGCAATCAGGGTTAAGTGACTTGCCCAGGGTCACACAGCTAGTAAGTGTCATGTGTCTGAGACTGGATTTGAACTCAGGTCCTTCTGACTCTAAGGCTAGAGCTCTATCCACTATGCCACCTAGCTGCCCCCCATTCATTTTCTAGAAGGCTAGTGTCCATTTTTATTTCTTCTTTTGCTCTTAAGAAAGGGTCTGCAAAGCTTTTGTACTAAACTTAATTGATATCTACAGATGATCACTTTAATTCCCAGCATAGACAATTGACTAGAATATGAGTAAAGGTATCTCGGTTTCACGTTGCTCCTTTTCTACCAAATGACCATTGCCAAACCATAGCCCCATGTCTCCTCGTTAATTCTAGTCTGCTAGGCCACTCACATTTCCTCCGTCCTTCCAGCCCTCCATATGGCTGCCCCAGGTCATAGTCAGAGAGCTGTTTATTTAACACCCCTAATTCTTTACTACCAACATTTCCCGATTTTGGCTTTGAGGACTTTTATGTTCTCTGTTCTCTAGATCCCTATGTAGCACTTAAGTGTTTCAGAAATGTGACTCAAGCTTAAGAGGCAGTGTGATGTAGGGGAAAGAACACTGGACTTGGGCAAAAGGCCTGGGTTTGAATCTTGACTTTGTCACTTACTAGCCGGGTTATCCCGGGCAAGTCATTTTACAGACCTCAGTTTCTTTATCCATAAAATGAGAGAATTGGGTTAGTTGCTTTCACCTTCTACGATTCTAAAACGACTGATGTGCCCACAACTTGACCAGATGACTTGGATTTCATAATTGCTCCTTTTGTGGTCAATTTGGAAATATAAAATCATGATATGGTCAACGTTAAAAGGGGCCAGCTAATAATAAATGTGATGGGCAGATCATCACCTTTAGACCTGGTTGGTGGCGCGGGCACCTTTCGAACTCTACAGAGAAGCCTTTCAAGCTCTTTGGAGAATAAGATTTTTCGATGCATGAGAATCATGGGGTTACAAAGGAAACCAGTTATATCAAAATAGAGTTATGGGAGTATTCAAAAACCATTCACAAGCCCCAGGTTAAGAATCTCTGATCTAGAATAGTGAATCATTTTCAACAATGTTCCTTCATGCATGCCTAGCATTTAACCAGCAAATGTTCTGCAGTGTACTTTGAGACCCCAGTATTAATTTTGATATGATCCACCTTGTGGTTTTTGCTTAAGAGCAAGCTAAGGACTCAGAGGCCTTCTGGATTCATGGCATCTGTGAACTGGGTAAGAGCTTATCTACTTTATCCCTGGAACCCTATTCTGTCCTTTTTGGAGATTAAGGGCAGCAGCTGGCTACCATCCTCTCTGTGGTAACCCTTATTTGTCCTAAAGATTATTCCATTTCCCTGAAGTCTTTGGATCAAATTACAATTCTTTTGACCTTTCTAAAATCCCTTGAGAACATTTCATACTAACTGAGTACATATTGTTGGTCTCCTTCATTTAAAAAAAAAACAGCCTTGATAGACATCAACAAACATAAACATTTTATGTACAAAGAACTGAAAAGGAGGAGTGTGTGTATGTGTGAATCTCCATTACATTATAGTTTGTGGATTTCAAAAAATATGTATTAAATTTGACATGATAGCATGCATCCTGCCCTAATTATCTGAGCCTTCTGCTCTCTTTGTATTTTTTAAATGTTTCACTGATGCTTGATTTTTTTTCCTTTTGTTTTATTTGACTATTATCACCATGCCTCCAAACTCTGTACTATTTCATGTAACGAGTAAGTATAATCAAACCAAATGTATACATGGGTTATGTCTAAAATGGATATCGCATTTGGCACCTCTAGTCCATGCCCTCTCTGCAAAGAGGTAGGAAGCATGTTTCTCCATCAGTCTCCTGGAGTCATATTTGTCACTGCATCAATCAGAATTGTTGAGTTTTTCAGAGGTGTTTACATTTACAATAGAGTAATCATTTAGTGACATGATGGACTCAAGATATAGAGTGAGATCATTTGTTTTGCTTGACTATCCAGATTTCGATGTGTTTTGTTTTGTTTTCTAATTGGGGAGGTGAAGTGGGAAGCAGAAAAAATAAATACTTGTTCATTGAAAAAAAATTGTTTTAAACAATATGAATTATTTTCCTGGTTTTAGTCACTTCAATTCAAATAAGTCCCCTTTCATATTTTCTTAAAGCACAATAATATTCCATTACATTCATGTACCATAATATTTGTTCCATTCCTCAATTGATGGGTACCTGTGTTGTTGCCAGTATTTTGCTACAACAAAAAGTTGTATATAAATATTTGTGTGTGTGTGTAGTACAAATAAATATATATACAAATATATATGCAAATGAATGTATATAAATATTTTTGTACAAATGGGTCTTTCCCCTCTGTTTTTGACCTTTGGGGGATATGTGCCTAGTAAGTGGTTGAACTGGATCAAAAGAAGATGCACAGTTTAGTGACTTTTGAGGCCTACTTCCAAATTGCATTCCAGAATGGTTGCACCAATTCATAGTTCCACCATCAGTGTGCCTGTCCTTCCATCGCCCCTCCAACAATCATCATTTGCCTCTTTTGTGATCTTTGCCATTTTGATAGGCATTAGGTAGAATCTCAATGCTATTTTAATTTTCATTTCTCTTATTAGTGATTCAGAGCATTTTTCATCTGGTTGTTGCTAGCCTGCCTTTCTTCTTTTGAGACTTCCTATTGATATCCTTTGACAGATGCTACTCCATTTGTCCAGAACAGGCAAGAAATGACATATGTGATCTACAGGTATATCTATAACCTACTGCCCTTACCCCTTTAATACTGTTCGAAATAAAGAATTATGCTTCCTCTTTCCCCTGGAGGCAATAGGAAGAGGGTAGTTAAAGTAGATAAAACTAGTAGACAGGCAAATGAAATATGCATTTCAGGAAAAGCAAAAGAGAGAGCCTTCTCTCTTCTGCATCCCCTCGCCGTCTTTTTGGAAGGGGATGTTCTGATTTATGATGGGTTGTGACATCTGCTTTTGGCCACTGACTGTCACTCCAACTCCCTTCTGTCAGCTTCTCTTCTTGAAGTCCATCTGTAAAAAGCCTTGGGATTAGATTCTAGCAAGTCTGAACAGATTGAATTTTGGCCTTGTCTTTTCCTTATAGTATATTGTGCTGAGCAATATTGGAACCACTCCTTTATACTATCTGACCATGGGACTATTCAGTGAAAATTTAACTTCACTTCTCCCTACTGATATATAAGTGGCTCAATCTTATAGCAAAGATTCTAAAGAGAGCAACCACTGATTGCCATTCTTATTATGATCACATCTGACTCTGAATTCTCTGTTGAGAGGTGTATCAGAAAAATAGCTCTTCTCATTCCAGAGTCTTGCCGGAGCGTGGTTTTTTTTAACATTATGTTGTGCTTTATTGTTTTATTTTGTTAAACATTTACCAATAACATTTCTTTTTTAAAAAAAATTATTTATTTTTAGTTTTTGACATTCACTTCCACAAGATTTTAAATTTTAAATTTTTTCCCCCTCCCTCTCCACCCTCCTCCCCAAGACGGCTTACAATCTGAAATAAGCTCTACTTATATATTCATATTAAGCATATTTTCCCATTAGTCATGATGTAAAGAACAATTAGAACTAATGGGAGAAACCACGAGAATGAAGCAATAAAACAAAACACAAGAAAGGAGAGCAAATAGTGTGTTTCCATATGCATTCAGACTCTATAGTTCTTTCTTCGGATGTGGATAGCATTTTCCATCATGAAACTTTTGGAGGTGTCTTAGATCCTTGCATTGCTGAGAAGAGCCGAGTCTATCAAAGTCAGTCATCGCACAATGTGGCTGTTACTATCTATATTGTTCTCCTGGTTCCGCTCATTTCACTCAGCATCAGACCATACAAATCTTTCCAGGTTTTTCTGAAGTCTGCCTGCTCATCATTTCTTATAGCACAATAGTATTCCATTACATTCGTATACCACAACTTGTTCAGCCGTTCCCCAGTGGATGGGCATCCCCTCAATTTCCAGTTCTTTGCCACCACAAAGAGTTGCTATACATATTTTTGTACCTGTGGGTCCTTTTCCCATGTTTATGATCTCTTTGGGATGCAACCCTAGAAGTGCTATTGCTGGGTCAAAGGGTATACACAGTTTTATAGTCCTCTGGGCATAGTTCTAAATTGCTCTCCAGAATCGTTGGATCAGTTCACAACTCAACCAACAATACATTAGTGTTCCAACCTTCCCATGTCTTCTCCAGCATTTATTCTTTTCCTGTTTTGTCATGTTAGCCAATCTGATAGGTGTGAAGTGGTACCTCAGAGTCGTTTTGATTTATATTTCTCTAATCAGTAGTGATTTAGAGCATTTTTTCATATGACTAGAGATAGCTTTAATTTCTTCATCTGAAAACTGCCTGTTCATATCCTTTAACCATTTATCAACTGGGGAATGAGTTGTATCCTTATAAATTTGATTCAGTTCTCTATATAGTTTAGAAATGAGGCCTTTATCAGAGACACTGGTTGTAAAAATTCTTTCCCAGTTTTCCTCTTCCCTTCTAATCTTGGTTGCATTGGCTTTGTACAAAAACTTTTCAATTTAATGTAACCAAAATTATCCTTTTGCATTTCATAATGTTCTCTATCTCATTTGGTCATAAATTCTTCCTTTCTCCATAGATCTGATGAGTAAACTATTCCTTGCTCTCCTAGTTTACTTACAGTATCAGTCTTTATATCCGAATCATGTACCCATTCTGGCTTTATCTTGGTATAGGGTGTAAGATGTTGGTCTGTGCTCAGTTTCTGCCATACTATTTCCCAGTTTTCCCAGCAGTTTTTGCCAAATAGTGATTTCTTATCCCAGAAGCCGGAGTCTTTGGATTTATGAAATAGTAGATTAGTATAGTCATTGACTGTTGTGTCTTGCATATCTAACCTATTCCACTGATCCACCACTCTATTTCTTAGCCAGTACCAAGCAGTTTTGATGATTGCTCCTTTATAATACAGTTTTAGATCTGGAATGGCTAGGCCACCTTCCCTAGCATTTCTTTTCATTAGTTCCCTTGATATTCTGGACCTTTTCTTCTTCCAGATGAATTTTGTTGTTGTTTTTTCTAGCTCTATTAAAATAATTTTTTGGTGGTTTGATTGGTATGGCACTGAATTAAATAAATCAAGTAGAATTGTCATTTTTATTATATTAGCTCAGCCTACCCATGAGCAACTGATATTTTTCCAATTCTTTAGATCTGACTTTATTTGTGTCATTAGACTAAATTGGATGTAATCATATGTACACACCCATGTGAAGTATGAGGGGGGATAACTTGGGGCACTTTCACTCCCTAAGAAATAGCCCATGAAATTTCTTTGTGGCCACCTCTAGTGTAGAACTTCTCAGGTAGTTTTCTCATGACTTGATTTCTGTTCTAGTGTGGAGCCATCGGAGAATCTACAGTCCCTGATGGAAAAGAATCAGTCTCTGAGTGAGGAGAATGAAAAACTGAGCCGTGGTCTCAGCGAGGCAGCAGGTCAGACAGCCCAGATGTTGGAGAGGATCATTTTGGTGAGACTTTAAGACCTGGGGAGTAGTATTGAGTAGCTTTAGTATTCTTACTTATTCCTGCTTCTGATTTGCAAAGCTCATGTGGAATGGAATGGATTGGTGATATAAAACCCTTCAGGGGAGCCTCTTTGGTGCAAAACCTGTGGCTTTGTAATAAGAGTATTACAAAGTATAGATTAATCCCTATACAGAGCGGGTTCTCATTCTAGGGTATTTGACTATAAAGTAAACGTATCTATCTTTTTATATCCATTTTCCTATTCCATCCCATTTCAAAATGGAAGATGTATTATAGAGCACTTTGGAAGGGAGGAAATTTGGTCATTCTCTTGCCACCATAATCCAGTGCCCAGACTTGGTTCAGTCTCCAATCCCTTCCTGCCAGTCCAAATATATAAATTCAGCCTTTGGCAGGCAAGTTTTTGCCTGAAACCAACAAATTTCCACTCTGTCTACCTTTATGACATGTATCCACCTGTGTTACAATGTGTTTTCCAACAAGGAAGGGTAGTCTGCTTCCAAACCTCTGTTTAAAGAGGACCAAACTTAATACCTATGACTGGCATAAGGGCGAGGGTGACAAGTGGCACTTCGCCCTTTTACCTAAATGTTTTAATCACAGTTCTGTACCTGATGCTTTGAGGTGATGCTACCATTGGAGATATGTACCAGCTCTACACCTGTGTGGCCTTCAGAGAGTTATTAAGGCAGCTGCCTGACCAAGTAAACCTGTTGGTGGGTTGGGCTGCTTACGCTTCGTGGCAGGTGCAGGTTTGCACAGGAACAAAAGTGTATACCAGAGATCCAGAAGAGAACTTTAGTGCACTCTGCACACACATATTAGATCAGAGCTTGAAATAGAACTGAAAAAAGTTCCTTCACCAACCTGGGTCTCCCTCTGCCCTCGTCTCCCCCCACCAGCCACCTGATCACCTCTCTTGTTCTTCACGCCAGATCGGCCCTGCCAGAGGGGCACCAACATTTACTCCTGATGTTAGGTTATGTAGGTAACACTGGAGGCCTGGCATCTGTTGAGTTACTTTAAATAACGGAGAGTGGCATGCCAGGAAACCCAGCCTTCTTACACAATCTGAAACTTCTCTACAGAGAAGAAGTGTGAGCTTCCGAGGCAGGTCTGGGACCTTGCTTGTCAGGTGTGGGGGTTTTTGGCTTGTTTGTTCGGGAATTGGGGTTAAGTGACTTGCCCAGGGTCACACAGCTAGTAAGTGTCAAGTGTTTGATCTGAGGCTGGATTTGAACTCAGGTCCTCCTGACTTCAGGGTCGGTGCTCTATGCACTACGCCACCTAGCTGCCCCTCAGGTGTGGTTTGTGAAGTGGCCAGTGATGACTGTAGAGAGAGTGGGGTGGCCAGCTTCCCTTGCTGAATTTACCAGTGCATTTCTGTAAATAATTAAAGCCTCTGAAGGCCTCCAGGATTGCACTGGAGGAAGCCCCCTCTGCATCCAGTTTTCTTCTTCCTAGTCATAGATGAGGCCTCTGACAGTCTTCTGTGTTTTTGTTACAGACAGAACAAGCAAATGACAAACTGAATGCCAAGCTGGAAGAGCTCAAGCAGCATGCCGCGTGAGTGTCTTATCACACGTGTGGGGAGGGACCAGTGCCCCCTTAACCTCCTCTCCTCTGATACTCGTCCTTCAACTTTCAGGTGCAAGCTTGATCTGCAGAAACTGATAGAGTCTCTGGAGGATCAAGAGTTAAAAGAAAATTTGGAGATAATTCATAATCTGCAGCATGTGATAACTCAGCTCTCGGTAAGCCAAGTAAAGATGGTATTGCTACACACACCACTTGTATACCTACGCGTATCCATTTTGAGAATTGCTGAAACCTCGTCAGGTCGTAGTTACTGTGACACATTCTTCTCCTTAACCCCCTGGACTGCTGGCGTGGTTCCCTGCCACAGTCTGGTTTGCTTGACTGCCACCTTGGCACAAGAGGTCTTTTCCCATATAGAACCTGAAGTGGAATATGCTGAGGCCTAACGGAAGGACAGCATTGTTCCAGAGCAAGATATGACCGTGGGTAGCCCTAGCCCTGCCTCTCTTCAGAATGACCAGCTAGATTTCCCTCTACGTGGAGCTGCAGTTTCAGATCTGGTCTGTCAAAGAATTGCTGAAGAAGAGGCTAGACACCGGTGCTCTGCTAGGCTGTGCTTTGAGGTGGCTGATGAGCAGGTCTGATTTGGGAAGCTTCTGTGAGACAGTATGTCCCTCTCGTCTGTCGCAGCAACCGTGAAGAGCATCGGTCTGCCTTATAGCCAGGGCCTGAGTGCAGGGTCATTTGGTAAGATGCAAGAAAGACAAGGACATATTTGTGAAGCAAGATGAGCTTCCCTCGCGGAGAATCGGACGACTCAGCCGACTGATAACCTAGATGTTCTCCCAGAGGAAGGGGCAACTGGTGACTGACTGGCTCAGAGGAGCTCTGTCTACCCCAGGGATATGCAAAATAGGAAATAATTAACAGGAGGAAAGTGTTAGAATTAAGAGGGGTTGGGAAAGGCTTCTGGTGAAAGATGGGAAATACTCAGCTCACAGATGTCAAAGATTTCAGTAAACTGAAAAGGCCGTGGATTTCCAGGGATTTTAAATCACTTAGATCCGAGGTTCCCAAACTGAGGTACTAGAAGCAAATGTCTATTTTGAAGAAAGCTTTCTTTATGAAAAACTAATGTATCCCTTTATTGTCTGTATGACCCCTGGGCAAGTCACTTTCCCTCTCTTAGCCTCAGTTTCTTCATCTGTAAAATGGGGTATTATAGCACCTACTTTGTAGGGTTGTTGTGAAGATAAAATGAGATAATATTTGTAAAGTACTTTGCAAATCTTCAAGCACTATAGAAATACTAGCTGTTATTTGAAAGTTTGCTCTTATAGTGATTCTTAATCAAACAGAATTCCATTGAGTAATGTTTCAAAAAGCCAGCTGGGGACGTGTGCATAGCGAACTCTAGAATTTGTTCCTTTTCGTATTGAGTAGGGAGTATGGGGGCTAAAAGGTGTTAGGAACCCCTGACTTACATGAAACAAACTTCCCTTATCCAAGACTCTTAACTCTCTTTTTGTATTGTGACCAAAGTCACATAGCTGGTAAATGTTGGAGGCAGATTTCCAAGTGGGATCCTCCCAACTCCAGGTGCGGCCCCCTTTTCATGGCACTACCTGGCTGATGAATGTTAGTGACTGTGCACTTGTGATGTTCTGTATGGAGGGCAAACACCCCCATCTGGGTTGTGTAGTCTCTCACCCCAAATTCTTTCTCCTGGTTCTATAATAATAGCAATAGCTCATATTACTATAGATTTGCAAAGCACTTTGCTTATGTTTTCTCCTGTTTAAATCCTTGAATACAGTATCCTCTCTTACAATCTTAGGCTGTAATTTAGACATCCTTGTTACATTTACCTGTAAAGATATATATATGTACATACATATATGTCTCTTTCTTCCACTCCCACACCTGAGTCTGCGCCACAGAAAGGATTCTGCATGCTCTGGAGATAGTGCCTGAGTCCTATAAAAATAAGTGCGTGTTTATTTGCAGGTGTGTCCCAGCAAGGATGGCTTAGCATTTCTGAACCTCGCCACCTTGGCTGTCAACTTTAATAGGTCACATTTTATATTACACGAGGCTCCTAGTTGTAACCTTTAAATGAGCAGAGAGATAGGATTGTTATTGAAAGAAGTACTCTAACCATGCTAGGATTCAAACTAGCCAAGATCCTGCAGGGCCTGGGCAACCACAGGTGTTTATTAAGTGCCTGCTCTGTGCAGAGCACTCTGCTGGGTACTTCAATTCAGTCCATGCCCATGGCCAGAGAGTTTAGCTGGGTTTTCTAATTTTCTCCAGCTTCATTCAACAGCCCTTGAAGTAGAAATAAAGAGAGTGTATGGTGGGTATAACCCAAGACTGAGGGGCGTAGATCAGTCAAGGTTGGCAATAGGCCAAGGGGCTCAACAGAAGGGGGCAGTGGAGAGTTGAACTGGGTTCGTCCTGGCATCAAACAGGGAAGGGAAGAGAGTGAAGCCCAGGGTGATAGATAGAGAGTGGTGCAGAGGTGATGGCCTGGGACAGACCTGAGGGTTGGGGGTCACAAGGCGGAGGGAGAAGTGGCATGACAAAACGTCATGATTGTATTCCTCAATGTGGAGGTGACCATTGATAGGCAATGGCAAGGTCAAGGGTATGCCTATTTCCGCAGGTAGCTGAGGTGGGGTGGAGGAGCTCATGGGAATGGAGTAAACTGTAGGCTGCAGTCCCCTAGGAGTTAATCTCGATGTAAACTCATTAATCCAAATAGAAGTGGTCTCCGTTCCCCTTCTCCGTGTACCAAACAGAAGCTGAAACATTTGCTTCGTTAGCAGTTTCTAATTAAGGACCTGTGGGTTGTTTTTGTTGATCTCTCTCTAGACCAGGTTCTTGTTCTTTGAGAGTAATGGTGTTTTACTGACTATAAAACGTAGATCAAAGACAGGGATTGGGGGGCTGGGAACCGTACCTTTGAGTTTATTAACATGAAATCAGTGCACAGTGGACAGAGCTTTGGGCCTGGAGTCAGGGAGACTTGAGTTCAAATCTAGCCTCAGGCATTTAGTAGCTGTGTGACCCTGGGCAAGCCGCTTCACCTCTGTTTACCTCAGTTTCCTCAACTGTAAAAGGGGGATCATAAGAACACCTGCCTCCCAGGCTTGTCATGAGGATCAAATGAGATCATTGTAAAGTACTTGGCACGATAAGTACCATGTAAATGTTAGCTGTCATCATGTTGACATGCTGGTGCATGTTGGTACCTTCTCTTACCTGTGGTCTTAGAAAACTGCCCAGAGCACTGAAAAATTAAGTACCTTGCTGAGTGTCACACAGCAAGGAGGGGACCCAAGCTAGACTAGAACCGAAGCCTTTCTGGCGTTGAAGCCAACTGGTAAAGTGTATGAAGAAAGGGCACTTGGTAAAAAGGAAAAGGCCAATTGCCCAGGACAGTGCTCCAGTCCAATAGGATCATCTCTGGCAGAAGAGGACGTAGCACTTACCATATGGCCTTATTTTTATAGAAGCCACAAAGTTTTTCATTATGGAAGAAAAAAAAGATGGCGGCAAATGTAAAATGGGCTTGTGGGTTGGGGTGTAGATGGCTTCAGGATTGTGCTTGATCCATTAAAAGGGTTTCTAAATGTAGATTTTTTTTAAAACATTAGATGGTTGCTATAACAAGACCTGTCGTCTTAACCAAAAAGCCTTTTTCTAAACGGAAGCATTGTTTCACAGGACGAGACTGCGGCATGCGTGGCTTCAGCTGCTGACGTTCCTACTGAGCCAGAGGCCGTGAGTAACCTGCCCTTTTGTGTACAATTGCAAGCTTTCACTGAGTGGCTCCCTGGGACTCCGCCTGTCCTCAGCAGTTCTTTTCTCTACCGTCCTTAGAGCGCTCTGGCATTCGGGGAAGCTTGGTCTCTAGTACCTGGTACCTAGTAAAGGCTGACTGTGTGCGTGCCATGTACTTTCCTGAAGCCTTGGCATGCAGCAGCCTTTATGTTGTTTCACAAAATGTCCAGGGAGCTAAAATGAAGGGGAGAGAAATTAGGAAATTGTGTCCGAGAGCAAGAAGGGATTGGAGATGAAGCAGAGGCAAAGTTGGTCTTTCAGGCCAAAGAGAAATTTGTTCGAGCTGAGCCTCTTCTCTGGTGAGAGACCAGAATGAGGGAAAGGTAGGCGACTAGGGTCGAAGGTTGGACCCCAGAGTCAATTGGCATATCAGGCTGGTTGTTCAGGTGCTTTTCCTGCCTGCGAGCAAAGTAAAAACTTCTGGAAAGACTTTTTAATAATACTTTTGGACTGAGAGGGTGCAGAAACAGCTGCCTGGTAAGAGTGAGTAAGAGCCAGCCTTCACTACTGCCACCCACCTCCCAAGATACCATCTCTATGGGGCTTTCTGAGGGCCTCTTTTGTGAACAACATAAGAGAAAATGAGTAAGACAGTTTCAATCAGAGATAATAGGGACAGCCAAGATGCAGGTTTCCCAGATAATTATTGTCGGGAGAAAACACCAGTTCTAGGGTCGTCAGTTAGAGATGCCATCGGAATTATGGTGCCAGTAATTGCAGTGAGATGAATGGTTTGAGGTAAAGCTTACAGACATTGAGTGTGTATCGTAAGAGCAGGCACACTTATGGGATGGAAAGGACAACTGCAAATAACTGGAAGATAGGGGCAGCTAGGTGGCACAGTGGATAGAGCACCGGCCCTGAAGTGAGGAGGACCTGAGTTCAAGTCCAGCCTCACGCCAAACACTTGACACTTACTAGCTGTGTGACCCTGGGCAAGTCACTTAACCCCAATTGCCAAAAAAAAAAAAAACCCTAGAAGATGGCCAAGAGAACTGACCGGCTAACAGGCCATAGAGAGTCCCAAATGCCTGTTTCTTTTGCCAATCATTCTTCCGTTCTCTTGCAGCAAGTGGAAACTAGCCCCAACACCAGCAGGTCCTCTGCTGGTTTCACCACGCGGCATGCACTGCGCCAGGCTCAGATGTCCAAGGAGCTGATAGAGTTGAATAAAGCCCTAGCTCTGAAAGAAGCCCTGGCCAAGAAAATGACTCAGAATGACAGTCACCTGCAGCCCATTCAGTTCCAGTACCAGGTAAATTCTGCTGGCTTCGAGATAGAATTTGGGTATGTCTATCATCTCTCTTTCTTTAAATGGACTTCCCTGCTAAAGATTATGGGCACTTCATCTCGATTCAGAGGACAAGGGGCTTGGCCCAATATAGCTTGAGTGTTTAACTTTTAAAATACTAGAGGACAGGAGCCCTAGTGTTTATTTCAGTCTTCAGAGCGTCTGCCTCTACAATCTGCAGGGAAATGCAGTTGTATAACACTCTAAAGGATAATCTTTCCTTGCTTTCAGGGAAAGTCATATTCTAATGATGGAACTAAGCTTCTGATCTTGTAGCCAGGCTGTTTTTGTTCCATTGAGCTATGGTACAAAGTAGAAAAATAATTCCCTTTCTTGTAATCGGGCTCACAAGGCTTTCAAAGTATTTGTTTTGGAGTCACTGTGGTACTTCTTTTAAGGCAAGGCTCTGGCTATTAGGTTTCCACAAAGACTGGCCCCCACCCCTAGCCCAACTCTTCTTTTCAGCCTTTCTGGTTTGATGTACCTGTGAACTTGTCAAGATGTACATAGAGCTCTTTCTCCGTGGTCTTCCTCCATTCTTTCCAGCCATGTTCTAGTTCAGTCAACCATATACATTCAACCTCTGCTACCTACCCAGACACTTGTATGTTTGCACCTATGTGGACCTACCAAATTTACTTTTTTATTTCCACCCACGTGTTTTGAATATATGTAATTTATAAAAATGTGTTTCAGCCACGAGAGCCAGACAACACATTTCTACCCTCCTTGGGGACCCGTAGTGATTGGGCTTCAGCCCATATCTGGTCTTTTCCTTAGACTCAAGGTGCTTAAGCCTCAAACATGAAACTTTTCAAAACTACCTTTCATATGCAGAGCACGTTGTATATGTTATTGACTGGTTTCTACATATAGGCCATGGCATATTTGTTATACAGTGTAACTTAACAAGATTATTTTAAAATGTTATCCTAGTTTAATGAACACCAAAAAATGGCATTTCCATATTCAAAATAGAATAGAAAAAGATTATATGTGAAAATTCAAATCTCTTGCATGTAACTGGGGTTTGTTGGTTTGTTTTTTAAGGAATATAATATATTCAACATGGTTTTGGGTTTTTTTTCAAAGCTGTCCTGCTTCTCTTTTTCCTTCTGATCTTTGATTCTCTTCTGTCCATTTAAAAAAATTGTTTCTTTTTTGGGGGTGACTATATCATTAGCTTCCCTCTCCCTACCAACCACCTCCCTTTTCTGTACACACCATACAAAAAGAAAAATACAGTTCTTGAAACAAGTAAATCTAATCAAGCAAAATAAATCTGCACATTTGCCACATCCAAAAATGTATCTCATTCTGTACTTTGCACCCATCACCTCCGTCAGTAGGGTGGGTGGCCTGCTCCTTCATCAGTCTTCTGAGGTCACGGTTGGTCATTACATTGATGAGAGTTCAGAGTTGTTTTTCTTTACAGTGTTGTCATTACTGTATAAATTCTCCTATTTTTGCTTACTTCATTCTATATCAGCTTATACAAGTCTTCCCAGGTTCTCTGAAACCATTCCTTTTGTCATTTTTTTTATATCCAATACCATTTCTTTTTTTCTTTGCTTTTTGGTGAGGCAGTCGGGGGTAAGTGACTTGCCCAGGGTCACACAGCTAGTGAGTGTCATGTGTCTAAGACCGGATTTGAACTCAGGTCCTCCTGACTCCAAAGCCGGAGCTCTATCTACTATGCCGCCTAGCTGCCCCTTCCAATACCGTTTCTTGACATATGTACCATAATTTGTTCAGCTATTCTCCAGTTGATGGGTACCCTCTTTGTTTCCAGTTCTTTTTACTACAGCAAAGTACCACTATGAGTACTTCTGTTTGTGTGGGTCTTTTTCCACTTTCTTTGATCTCTTTGGAGTATATGCCTTGTAGTGGTATTGCTGAATCAATGTGTGTGCACAGTTTAGTGACTTTTGGGGCCTAGTTCCAAATTACCTTCCAGAATGGCTAGACCAATTCATAGCTCCATTAACAATGCATTAGTGTACCTGACCTCTCACACTTCGTCCAACATTTGCCATTTTCTTCTTTTATGATCTTTGCTAATCTTGTAGATATGAGGCAGACTCACAGAGCTGTTTTAATTTGAATTTCTCAAATTCTTTGTTATTTGAAGCATTTTTTTTGTGACTTTTGATCACTTGGATTTCTTCCTTAGAGAATTGCCTGCTCATATCTTTTGACCATTTATCAATTGAGGAATGGCTCTTATTATAAATTTGAATCAGTTCTTTATGTGTCTTGGATATCAGAGTATGCTCAGTACTACCAGTCTATATTTGATGCATTCTATTTCTTTTCTTCATCCGTTCTTCTTTTCCCCTCACCCAGTCACTGATAACAGGTTCTTACTCTTTCTTTTTTTCCTTTTACTCTCATCCTCTTTGTTTTTGCATGACTATTCCCTCCCTGAATCTACCCCTCCTTTCTTAATATACACCTTCCTTCTCTTTTTCCTCGCCTAATTCCTTGTTGTATTTAATATATTTCTATATCAAATTCTCTGTGTGTTTATGTTTTCAACCTGTCTTTTTTCAATTCAGATTAAAGTGAGATTTGTCTGTAACCCACCTCAATCCCCTTTCCATATTTATTATAGTCTTGTGAACCTTTATTATGTGAGATAGTAAGCTGCTTCTTCTTCAGGCCTCTTTCCTTCCTAATGTATTCCTTCTTTCTTCCTTTTTCTCTTAAAATCATCAAGATATAGCATAACTGTTCCCTGGCTCTATTCTTTACTCCTTCTATGATCCTTGAAGGCATTAGGTTCTGAGGAGACATTTGTTTCTTCTCCCTCATTATGATATAAACCAGCATTATATAGTCCTCTCCAATTGCTTAAATGCATTCACGTTTTTATGTCTTTCTTAACTCCTTTGTTTGCATTTCAAATTAGCTATTCAGCTCTTTTCTTCATCATGAATACTTAGAAATCCTCTATTTCATTAAAGGCCTGTTTTTTGTCCTGTAAGATTATAGTCATCTTTGCATAGAGATTATTCTTGGATATAACCCTATGTCTTTTGCCTCTTTGAATATCATATTCCAAGCTTTCCACTCCTTTTAAGTGGTAATTGCTAGGTCCTGTGATCCTGACTATGGTTCCATGGTACTTGAACTCTTTCTTTCTGGCTGTTTGCACGTATTTTTTTCTTTGACCCCATAGGCCCTAGATTTTAGCTGTGACATTCTGTGGAATTTTGATTTTGGGCTTTCTTTCAAGAGGTGACCAGTAGACTATTTAAATTTTCACTTTGCCCTCTGGTTCTAATAGGTCTGGACAGTTTTTATTCATGATTTCCTGAAATATAGTACCTAGACTATAGTATCTTTTTTATAGGGCAAGATTTTTCAGTAGTCTGATGATTGTTGCTTTATCTCTCCTTGACCTTTTTTCTAGGTCAGTCTTTTTTAATAGGATATACTTTGTTCTCTGATTTTTTTCAATCTTTTAATTTTGTTCTAGTATTTCCTCTTGTCTCATAGAGCCATTGACCTCTGTCCAATCTATTCTAATTTTCAAAAATACTCTTATTTGAGTCAGGTTTTTACCTCTTGTTCTAAGATATTTATTCTCCTTTGCATTCTTTCCTCAAGAATTCTCCTTCCCTTTCCCATTCTTATCTTTAGAGCTCTTATTTCATTTGTATCATCATCTTTTAATTCTTCATTTCTTCCATGAGTTCCAGTTAGTCTCCCTGCCTCAAGTCTCTCTCTACTCCAGTACATTTTCCATTCAGCTACAAATTGATCTTCTTAAAGCTCAAGTTTGCTTTTCTCTCTCTCTCTCTTTCTCTCTCATACTCGTGCACACAGGCACACCCACACACACAAATTCAGTCAACTCCAGAGGCTCCCTATTTCTTCCAAGATCAAATATAATATCTTGTTTGGTTTCTAAAGTCCTCCATCATATGGACTCTTCCCACTTTTCCAGTCTTCTTACACCTTACACCCCACCATGTATTCTGTGATCCAGTTAAGTCTGGCCTCCTTGCTATTCTTTGAACTAGATTCTTCATCTCCTGATTCTGGGTATTTTTACTTGCTATTTCCCCATGCCTAGAACTTTTGCCCTTCTCATCTCTGCCTTCGAACTTCCCTGCCTTCCTTCAATTCATAGCTAAAATCCTACCATCTGTGAGAAGCCCTTCCCAACTCATTACTCTTAATGCCTTCCCTCTGTTGATTACCTCCACTTTATCTTGTATATATCTTGTTTGTACGTAATTGTTCACATGTTTTCTCCCCCATTAGGCTATAAACTTCTTGAGAGCAGTGATTGTGTTTCTGCCTTTCTCATATTCCCAGTGCTTAGCATGGTGCCTGGCACATACTAGGCACTTAGTAAATATTTGTTGACTTACTGTTGAGCATCCTTGGCTCCATTAAATGTGTCTGTTGTCAGTGATTTCTTGTGTTTCTTCATTCTTTCCAGCCTTAGTTCCTGAATTGGAACTTTGTGTCAGGGCTACATTTCTGTGGCATCCTCTTTTATCGATCTGTGTTATCTGGGGTCTGGGGAACAAAGAGCCATGTTCTCTAGTACCTGTGGAGCTGCAGGCCAGCCCACTGTGCTTGTACCAATGTTGATATGCACACAGTGGCCTGTTGCCAATCCTTGCCTTCCTCATCTGAGCCTCGGTTCTGGTCAGAGCAGCACAGGTGTGGGTCCCTGTCTCCTTGCCCAAGCACAGCATCAGGCTGTGGGGTTCCCCGCCTTGTGTGTGGTAGCAGGCTTCCCTGAGCACATCCCAGTGCTGGGGTTTTCTTGCCGCACCCCTTACCTAGGGCCTGCAGGTTTGTTTGGGGGGTTTGGTTGTTCAGACCTAGCATAGCAAAATGTATTTAATTTGGGCAGGTAGGTGGTCTAGTGGATGGAGTGCTAGACTTGGAGGCAGAAAGTGCTGCTTCAGATCTTACAAGTCATGTGACCTTGGGCAAGTCACTTCATCTCTGTCAGCCCCATTTTCCTCATCTGTAAAATAATAATAGAACCTGCCTCCCAAGATTTGTTATGAGGATTAAATGAAATAAAGTGCAAAGCACTTTGTAAGCCTTAAAGTGCTACATATATAAATTTCAATAATCTACCTACTATGTCTCAGGCACTCTGCTAAGCACTGCGTAAATTCTGTTATTATAAGATGAATATTTACTCTGATTTCCCTTTGTAATTCTCAATCGTTTTTTTAATACTTTTTGGAGTAGTCATGGAGCAGCTGAGCCATTCTGTTCTTGTAACTCACTCTGCTGTCTTGAGGAGAGTCCAACAAGAATGACTTTTTTAAAAATTCAGTAAAAGCATATTAGTTGGGAAATAGTGCTGTAGTCTCTATAAGAAGTATTTCTGGTACTAATTTGTCTCTGGCTCTTCTTTTCCATACAAAGCTGACTCCTACCCTGAGTCTAATCTTAACTGACAACCAGTGTTAGCCAACTTCCTTTCATCTGTCTTAGAGTGAAGGAAACAGGAAGGAATCTGTTCACTGGGTTTTCCCGATCATGGAAACCACCAAACTACCTATAATCTTTTTATTAAGTGTATGCAGAATTGTAAGTGCTTGTTATAGAATTATTTTTCATTCTCTGACTTTTATATCACAAAAACAGCTTTCTCAGTAGTGGTTTCCTATTGACATAATTCATAGGAGATCAGTAAATATTGAGATATAGAAGATTTTTTTCATTCCTGGTAAATGGTTTCTTTCTCTCTGACCCATAACCCTTCTAGGATAACATGAAAAGCCTAGAGTTGGAAGTTGTCAGTCTGCAAAAGGAAAAGGAAGACTTGATCCTTTTACTTAATTCAGCAAAGAAGGATGTGAACCAAGCCAAGTAAGGCCCAAATCATTGGTTCTGCTGAGCACTTGGGGGACGGCACTTTGCTAAACACTCGGGGGTGGCTGGGGAGGATCCGGAGAGGACTCGGGCATTGGCTCTGTTGATACTCCCAAAGAAGTCACAACCTACTTTGAAAGACAAGACACAAACACAAAAAAAGCTACTCACACAGTTTCAGAGTTGGAAGTGATTTACTATGTAGTCATCTAGTCTAACCTGGACTGGAGTGTGACTCCCTTCTACAACCGCCCCAACAAGAGCATCCAGGCTCCATTTGAAGCACCTCAATGATGGGGCCGAAACTTATTTTTCCAAAAATTATTCTACTGTATAAATCTATAAAAGAGGGGAAATCTTTCCATATTTCTCCATTTCTTCTATAGCAGTGCTTCCCAAAATGTTTAGGGTTCTGTTATCCCATCACAATTTGATTTCTCAACATCTTTCCCCTCATGGATATTTTAAATAACCACTAAAGGCAACAGAAGAGACAACTTTTTTATAGACAATGATTTCATTGGAAGTTTTTAAGAGGGAGGTCACTTCAGAATAGGAGATGGTCAAGGAAGTCTCTGAGTTAGTTGAGATTTGTGAGCTGTAGGAGTCTTTCTTCCATGTAATAGTGGTAATGGAGCTTTGGAATGAATCCATTGTTACAGGAGACTTCCTCAGCCAACCATCGGTCAGGTCCAAATAATACCAAAGAGTATATCCCAAGCTGCGCCAATGCTCTGCTTCACTGATTATCTATCCCACCTTCCCTTTCCTTGACATGGCATGTATTTGTCACATCTGATTTCCTTTGCAGACTTAGAAAATGGATATATTTCTTCTGGCAAATCTAAGGTTAAACTGCTTTCTAGGATGTGGTGGTAGAGGGTGAAGTAGAGTTGATTGTGGTCTCCTTGTATACTCAGACAGATGAATGCAAGGCTTACCTTGTCTCTGGCTTTAGCAGGCATCCATTATGCAAGAAAATTCTTCTGACTGGGCTAGAGGAGGGCATGTGATCTCTCCTATGCCTACTGCTGAGCACTAAGGTCAGTCGCTCAGTCTAGGACTGTAGCATTTGGCATCAGGGTTGAACGCTTGGATTTATTGCACTTTTATACAGGTTGAGTGAGCGTCGTCGGAAACGGCTCCAGGAACTGGAAGGGCAAATTATTGACCTGAAGAAAAAATTGAATGAGCAGTCGAAGCTTCTGAAGTTAAAAGAATCCACAGAGCACACGGTCTCGAAACTTAATCAGGAGATACGGGTAATGAACAATCCTTGAAAATACTACCTTTGCTTTGACCCAGAGATTCCGCTAATTAGGTGCATTTATAAGAACAAAGTCCCCATAAACACCAGAATATTTATAGTGATACTTTTTTGGGGTGACCAAGAATTTGGAAAAGATTAGCTGCCCGTTGATGAGACCGAAAAAACAGAATGCGATACAGTAATGTGTCCTAAGAAATGATGAAAAAAGCACCAAAAGACTTACATGAACAAAGCCAGGAGAACAATATATACCATGACCACAGTAATGTAAATGGGGAGAAAGACAGAAAAACAATGGAAAGTGAATGGCACAGACTTGTCGAGGACAAGCCTGGTCCCAAAGAAGAGATGTGAGAAGACACCTCCCCTCACTCTTCTACTGAAGCAGGAGGTCTATGGGTGTGGAACACTGCATGTGTTTTTAGATTTTTGTTTTATTTTGTGAGGCAATTGGGGTTAAGTGACTTGCCCAGGGTCACACAGCTACTAAGTGTCAAGTGTCTGGTCTAAGACCGGATTTGAACTTGACTCCCGGGCCAGTGCTCTATCCACTTTGCCACCTGAGGGGTTTTCTCTTCTTCCTTCTTCTTGTTTCTCTGAAACATTATTTGTTGTACTGGGTGGGTTTTTGGTACATGGGGTTAAGTAAGAGGGAGATTTAGGTGATATGGCAACAAAAGATGTCAATAAAAATGTTTAATTTCTTTTTATGCCCCATTTGGAGTTTTTAACCACTGCTTCCACCTGGTTAGAGGGGTGCTGGGAAGGACTCTAAATTTCTGTATTAGAGAATGCTTAGGGTAACTGCTATTGGCAGAATCTAAATTATATAACCTCTAATCAAGTTCTTACTTTAATGCTTTTCCTTCCATAACATCTCCAAATTCATTGGTGACATGCACCTTCCTAGTACCATAAGGGTTTGCCTTTAAAAAAAAAAATCTGAAATTTCACTTGTATCTACCTTTGTGGATTAAGAAGAAAAAATGATTAGTATATTTTGCTTTTATATCACTTTCCTTATCTAATATATCCCTCGACCCTCCCCCGCTCAGCAAACCAACCCTTACAAGGAAGAATAAAAAAGAAAGGAGGAAAGGAAGGAGGTTGAAGCAAAATATCCGCCAAGACTAGCAGCACGTGCCGTTCATGCCACGCTCATGGTTCCACACTTTTGCAAAGACATGAGAGAGGAGCTGGTGCCAGATCTGGTCGTTATAATTTCACAATGCTCCATCTTGTTGTTATTGTTCTTCGCGTTGACACTGTGCTAGTCCTGTGGGCCGTGTTCCTGGCTTAGCCCATACACAGCTGGCCACGTCTCCCTGTGCTATGCATGTTCATCCTTTCTTACGGCACAATAATATTCCATTGCATTCATGTACCACAACGTGTTTAGCCATTCCCCAGTTGATGGGCAAGTACTTTATTTCCAGATCTTTGCTACTACAATTTTTTTTGTTGCTACAATTACAATTTGCTGCTATGAATATTTTGATGTATTTGGGAACTTTGTGTTTCTCATTGACCTCCTTGACACATATAATAGTGGAATCTCAGAGTCAAAAGGGGATGAAATATTTGTTGATTTCTAAAGTGTCTCATTAATCTCTACTTGGAAATCCCAGTTCATCTGCACGTGGGCTCAGAGACGAGTAATCCTCATTTCTTTTTTCTCCTCTAGTTGATGAAAAGCCAAAGAGTACAGCTGATGCGTCAGATGAAAGAAGAGGCTGAAAAGTTTAGACACTGGAAGCAGCAAAAGGACAAGGAAGTGATCCAGCTTAAGGAGCGAGTGAGTTTCCTCATGATTCCTTAAGAGCCTGTGACTTGGCTTACTGCCAGCTATTGTTCATAGTTTCTTCTGAGAAATTAAAGCATTCATTCACCAAATGTTTGTTGTGCACCGACTATGTGCGAGGTTCTATTTGAGGCAACCTGGCATTTCCAATACGTGAGATCTTGTCCCAGCTTTGCCACTAGCTGGTTGTGTGACCTTGAGCATGTCCCTTCACCTCTTTGAAGTAGTTTCCTTATCTACAAAATGGGGATAATAATTACTAGCCCACCTACATAGTAAGATTGTTGTAAGATAAATGAGATAATGTGTATGAAAACACCTTGTAGAATTTATAGTGCTAATATCAGGACAAGGTAGCTTCCCTCCAACAACCTGTAATCCTCATGGAGAGGTGGGACAGCAGTGGTAACTATACAAGAGTCAATGTAAGAAAAAGCAAAGTGTGCAAATGCTATGTGAGATAGAGACAAGTTAAGGAAGGAATTCAGAAGTAGAAGAGGGGCCAGAGGAGTAGTCAAGTCTTCATCTGACATCCCATAGTGTTTTCATGTGTACTGTTTGATGCCTCTCTGATCAGAGAGAGAGAGAAAGAAAGAGAGGCAGATAGAGATAGATAGGTAGACAGATATCTGTCTCTATATACCCACATATCTCGCTATAGCTACAGCTGTCAATATCTGTCTTAAATAATCTGCCTCTCTGGCAAAGTGAAGCTCCTGTCCGGCTTGGTGTCCCATGGCTTGGCTGCCTGAGTAGCATGTCTCCTTTCCTATCTGCCAACATTGGGACTCTCTGGAGAGTAGGAGAACAGTTGTCTCATGATGGAGGTTTCTACCCTCTGGCAGCATGCGGTCAGTCAAAAATAGACACTTCACCCCAGGTTTTGGGTGCTGCCAGTTCCTAGTGCCAGTGAGAGAGGCAGAGGCGGGGACACAGGGAACTAGAGAATGGTTCCTTTTGATTTGATTTTGATTTGATAAGCTGGTTCTCAGCGAGCACCATGGGAGAAACATGTTCAGACTCAAACTTCCCTCTTCTTAGGATCGTAAGAGGCAGTATGAACTCCTAAAGCTTGAAAAAGACTTCCGGAAACAATCCAATGTCCTCAGACGGAAAACTGAGGAGGTAAGAACTCCGCGTCTTGTTCTATATCACTTTGTCCGGTCTGCTCTTATTGCTGACATATTTATGTTCATTCTTGAGGTGAGCCCACATCCTCTCCCTTACTGAGGGACTAATTAGAGAACCGTTGCTGACCCAACCAGTCGAGTTAGCAGATTGGCCCTAAAGTGTGGGTCCAAAAACCCTGTTGGAAGGGGGAGGACAGAAATATAGTGGTAACATAAGGGGCTAGTGTAATGGTTTCTAGGCACTGAAGAAAGCGTCACTGAGATTTTTTGAATTCTATGCTGGAAACTTTCAGCAAGAACACATCTGTGTTGCTATGTTTTCTTCTCCACGTATGAGGTCTGAGGCTGTTCCTTCACATTTGTCCCTCTTGTAGGTTCAGAATAGTAGCACTGCACTAGTGATATGCCTGTGGAGCTGTGAAGTCAAAGCTAGTTCCCATGTGACTCAGAGCCCCTAGACTTGTCTTTGCTTTTATGGGGATACTTGCTCCTCACTCCTCCTCAAGCCAACAGAAATGTGTACCATTTAGGCAGCGGCTGCCAACAAGCGCCTCAGGGATGCTCTCCAGAAACAACGGGAGGCCGCAGATAAGCGGAAAGAGAGCCAGAGCCGAGGGATGGAAGGAACTGCAGTTCGAGTAAAGGTACCAACCAAATGACTGCTTGGCCTTTGAGGAGCACGTTAGATTGGAAGCTTATTTTTGTGTCCCCAGCATTTAGCACAATGCCTGGAACACAGTAGGTGCTTAATAAACGTTTATTGATTGAATGCTTAAATAGAGATTTCAAAATAATGATTTTTTTCCCCCCTGGGAAACTATGCTCCCTGAAGACATGAAGGACTTGGACCTGGTAACTAAATGAATTCAGCAAACATTTTTAAATATCTACTCTGTGATAGACATTGGGGCTGTAGGTATGTATGAGGCAGCTAGAGGGCGCTGCAGTGTACAGGGCACTGGGCCTGGAGTCAAGAAGGCCTGAATTCAAATCTTGTCTCAGACACTTACTAGCTATGTGACCCTGGGCACACCACTTTACCTCTGTTTGTCCTCAGTTTCCTTGACTGTAAAATGGGAATAATAACGGCATCTACATCCAAGGGTTGTTGTGAGGATCAGTGAGATGATTTTGTAAAAGGCACTTAGCCCAGTGCCTGCCACAGAGTAGGTGTATATGAATGCTAGTTGTTGTTATGTGTGAAGATAGATAGACAGTCCTGTACCTCAAGGAGCTTCCCTTCTAGGGGGGGGGGGGATGGACAACTAAGTATACTTAGATTAGTATGTGTAAAGTTATATAAAGTTACTCCATGGAGGAGAGAGCATTGACTCCTGAGAAGATCAAGACAGGCTTCCTGAAAGAGGTGGCAGGGATCCTGAGAGGAAGAGTCGGGGAGCCCGGGCCATTCCAGGTATTGGAGACCACAGAGGTAGGAGATGAAATGGCCCACAGTCCCAGCCAGAAAGGTAGGTAGGATCCAGGTCTGGAGAGATTAAAATGCCAGGCTGAACATGTATCTGATCCGAAAAGCAGTAGGGAACAAATGATATTTTTACTCATTCTGCTAACATTTATTAAGTGCCTATTGTGTGCTAGGTGCTAACACAAAGACACATGAAGTTCCTACCCTCAAGGAGTTTACTTTTTATTGGGGGGACACAACATGAACAAAGAGTTTAAAAAAGTACTTTCTGGGGGAAGAGGGGCATTAGCAACTGGGAAGATCAAGACAGACCTTAAGGAAAGGGTAGCCTTGGAGCTGATCTTTAAAGGAAACTAGGAATTCTGGGAAGCAAAGTTAAGGAAAGGATGCTTGCCTGACATGGAATTAGCCCGCACAAAAAGAAGGACCCAGAAGGCAGTACATGAAGAATAGCAACTAGGTCAGTTTGGCACATTGAGTACACGAAGGGGGATAATAGAGAGCCAATCCTTCAAGGAAGACAGACCAAGGACCTGGCAGTAGTTTGGGTCTATTCTGAGGTTTTGAAGAGAGAAAGAGAAAGGAGGGTTCATAGAATAAATTAGTGTAGAAAAGACGTAGAAGGTGATGAAAGTCCATGAAGAGAATGTGAAAAGAGAAAAAAGAAAATCAGCATCATCTACAGGTTCCCATCACTTGAACAAACTGTAGTATGTGAATGTAACAGAATATTATTGTGCTATAAGAAATGATGACAGAGATGACTTAAAAGGCCCCTTGGTAGCATGAACTGATGCAGAACAAAATAAAGAGAACAGTTCCTACAAGGACAAGAGCATTAGAAAGAAATCCTCAGGAACTTTGCAGGAAAGGCCGTCAAGTGCTGGAGTTGGAAGCCACATCGCCAAGGACTGAGGAGTGAGTAAGAAGAGGGGAAGTGGAGGCAAGCACAGACAGCTCTTTCTAGGAGTTTGGCTTAAAAAGAGAGAGGGCATGATAGAATCTAGTGAAGGTTTTTTCAAGATAGTGGCATATCGGAAGACAAATCAAAACCATGACCATCCCTTCATGTGGGTGATGTGGAGGGAAGGGGTCGGGGGTTGAAGAACTGAATGACTAGGGTGTTTGAGGGGGCTTCAGATGTATGTTGAATTACCTTAGCTTAAGGATAGGGGTTGTAGTTAAGGAAGAGGCAGTGAAATGAATTTGGTGGATGAGGTGGTGAAGTAACAGATTTTTTTGTGGCTTGTCAGACACATTCTGTAGCCCTTTAGGGTGTTATGGATAACGACTTTATGTTATATTACGTTTTTTTAGCTCTAGGCGAAAATAGGATGTCACTACTTGGTAATTGCCCAACTGACTAGATGAAATTGTCACAGGGCTGAATCCAGCCTGTATGGTCTATATGTTCTCATATCTCTGACATAGACCTCCATGATATTTTATTTGTCTCTCTCTTTTAGAATTGGCTTGGAAATGAAGTAGAGGTTATGGTCAGTACTGAAGAAGCCAAACGCCATCTGAATGACCTTCTTGAAGATCGAAAGATACTAGCTCAGGAACTTGTTCAGCTCAAACAGAAAAAAGACGCTGGAGAAAACCCACCCCCCAAACTCCGGGTGAGTGCCCATGAAAAGAAATGTGGCCAGCACTGGTATTCCACAGTCTCTTCACGCTCAAGAGAATCTCTTTCCGTAGATGAGGGTGGGGGTGGGGGGGGGAGTTTTTTGTATACTTTACTTGGCTTTTCAGTATAACTAATCAAGTTCATGATGGTTTCCATTCTACTCTTAACTCCAAGAATAGGAATTAGTAAAAAAATTCTAAAGCTTCACATGTCTGTGTACAGAAATACCCAAAGTATAGGCAATAAGCAAGATAAACTAGCGGTCCAAGCAGGAGACAGATCTGGCCTTTTAGACAGCACTGAGGTTTGGTGGGGTGAAACCCCAGACTCAAACGTGCTTCTGGATATATATGCCACATTCAGAAGAAATGGGCTAGGCAAAAACAGAAAGGAGGATGGTATTTTATGTTAAGAAAGTATGCTTTTGCAAGGAAGTCAACAGACCATAATAGGTAACATAATGGAAAGTATATGAGTGAAGATCATTGGAAAGAGAAAATAGAATCCATTTTGTCATTAGCGTACACTCTATATAGTCCACCTGGACAGAAATGAAACAGGAGAGTTCAGGAAACATCCCAAGCTTGACGTAGAGACATGCTAGAATCATGATGGGGGACTTAACTTATCCAGATATCTGCCCTTTCTCCCTCTTCCAAAAGCCAGAACAGCAAAGAACTTCTTGAATTGTCCTGGTAGACTTGTCCAACAGGAAGGAATATTTGCTGTTTCCTTGGGAGGAAATGCTGACTTTCCGGTAAAGTTTGTGTTAGAGGGAAGGAAAGGTATGCAGAGTCCAACATGTATCCCAGAGTTTTGGAGAGCAGATTTCAAAGGGTTCAGAGGGTTGGATTGTGGTTCTACAGGCGAAATCAGCTGAGAAAGGATGGATTACTCCTGAATGAAATTCTGAAGACTCAAAAGAAAACAATTCCATTGAGGAAGAAAAATGTGAGTTGTTTGAAGAGACTAATATGACTGCACAGAGAACCAGCCACCCATCTTCTATTTTAAAAGGGCATATAGTGAAGATGTAAGTAAGGGAAGTCAGAAGTTGAATGACAAAGTATTGCATTATGCTTTCCTAAAGAATAGTGTGAGGAGTGCTAGATGTTGAGAATGATGAAAAAGCTAAGGACAACAGAAGGTTTTTAAGTAACATTGGAGAAAAGAGAAGGATCAAAGAAGGTATAATAAGAAAATTCTAGGAAAAGACTACAAAATTGTATTTTTTAAAAATTATTCACTGTGACCAAATTGGATTTCTACCAAGATGATTCAATATTCAAAAAAACAATCAACATAATCATCGTGTGTGTGTGTGTGTGTGTGTGTGTGTGTGTGTGTGGGGGAGGGGGTGTTATAAGCAAAAAACACATATTAGTAAATATAGAAAAAGATTAAAAGATTTTGCCAAAACCCAGCATTCGTTTATGCTAGAAACCCTAAAAAGCAAAGGCATAAAGGGCCATTTTTAATGTGATAAGTGGTTGTGGGATTGGTTTTTTTTTTTTTAACTATTATTTGCAATGGGGAATTACTATAAGCTTTCCTAATAAATGCAGAAGCAAAGCCACCATTATTTGACAGTTCTAGAATTGCTAGCAATAGCAGTAAGACAAGAAATAAATTAACAATGTGATCCAAAAAGAGACGATATGATGGTTTATTTAGAAAGCTTGAAGCAAAGAGGCTGAGACAGAAGATTCAGTGAAGGCTGCAAAATAAGTCCTTGAAAAAATTGGCATTTCTATATCTCATTTCTATAACCAAAATCAGCATTTTTATGACAAAACCCAAGAGGAAATGATTTCTTTTTCATTCTAAATAGCCTCAAAATGCATAAAATATCTGGGAGCCAACGTAAGACAAACTCAAGACCTACACTGGTATAATCACAAAACATTTTTTCCAGAAATAAAGGAAGACTTAAATAACTGGAGGCATAGTTGTTGTTTATAGTTAGGCCATGCCAGTTTAATAAAAATGACAATATTGACCTAAATTAATTCACACTTTTAGTTCTATGTCAATCAAATTACCATGGAATTCCTATATAGAACCAGACAAACAAAATTCATTTGAAAGAATAAAAGATCAAAAATCTCATAGCAAGTAATGATGAGAAAAGTGTAGTGATGCAAGAATAGCATTTCTTTTTTGTTTTTATTCATGTAAAAGAGGTTTCTTTTTTCTTTAATTTGAAATAGCAGTAAGTTCTAAAACTGTAAGTTAATAAATGCCACTTTTTCTTAACTCAGAAATTTAAAAAAACAAAACACTATTAGCAGTCAGTTCCAAAGTATTTGTTCCACCAACAACAAATGGAGCTCATTTTTCCAAAGTGAGAAGAGAGGCAGAGTCATACAGTGTCAACAGCATTGGTCTTGGAGTCAGGAAACCAGGTTTGAATCGCACCTCTGACATTTGACCAGGCATCTATGACCATGGCAAAGCCAACTTCTCCATCTGGGCACTGGGAATAGTAAATGCAGACGTTATCCACCTCTCAAAGCTATGAGAAATCAGTGAGGTGAAAGACAGAAAGCAGAGGAAAGCCTTTCAAATGCTACATCAATGCCAATTGTGATTATTGCTACCAAGCTTGATCAAGGCATGTAGAGCCCCGACTCCTTCTTTGTGTAGACATGGCCATGTTGCAGACAGACCTTTTCTTGTAGGAACCTTATCTAGGATGAATGAGTGAAGGTACAGAATGAATGTACAGACAGAGAAAGTCTAAGCTTGGGCTTTCAGTGGTACTCTTAGATAAGATCTTAACAGTTTTTTTATTGTTCTTTTTGTTTGTTTTTGCTTTTCAGTGAGGCAGTGAGGTTAAGTGACTTGCCCAGGGTCACACAGCTAGTAAGTGTCAAGTGTCTGAGGCCGGATTTGAACTCAGGTCCTCCTGACTCCAAGGCCGGTGCTCTATCTATTGCGCCACCTAGCTGCCCCCCAGAGTTTTTATGTATTCAGTTTTGCCCCCCTTGTTTTTTAAAGAGAGGTTGACTATTTCCTCCTCTATCTTAGCTGTCATCTTAGGAAACAACTTCCTTGTTCTGCCAAAAAATAGCATTTCTAGGCCTCAATTATAAATCAGTAATCATCAAAACTATTTGGTATTGGTGAAAAAAGTCAGCAGAACTGATCAAAACCTTTTTTTAAAAGTCTGAAAACATGTATAGTGTGTAACGGTGGACCTCCCACCTCCCCAAAGGAGTAGGTTTGGAGTGTCTATCTTCTCTTATTTCTTCATTTGATTCCTGTTTGATCTTACAACTTTGTTACATTTACTTATGATTTTTTGGTGTGTTGGTGTTCTTTCTATTTATACTGTTGTAGTTACTGTGTATGTTGTTTTCTCTGCTCCATTTACTTAACTCTGCCTCAATTCCTATAGGTCTTTCCATGCTTCTCTGTATTCATCACACATCATTTCTTACAGCACAGTAATATTCCATTACATTCATGTACCATGATTTGTTTAGCTATTCTCCAATTGATGGACATCTACTTTGTTTCCAATTCTTAGCTATCACAAAAAATGTTGCTATAAATATTTTGGAGTATAGGGAACTTTTTTCTTCTCAATGGCTTCCTTGGAGTGTGAGCCCAATAATAGGGACTCTGGTACAAAGGATCTGGACATTTTAGACATTTGATTTGCATAATTTCCAGTTGCTTTCCCAAATGCTTGTACCTTTTCACTGCTCATATTGGTGTACCTGCCTTTCCACAATCCTTCCAACATTGACAAGTCAATTTTTGTCGTTTTTGCCAATTTGCAGGGTGTGAGGTGGAGCCTCAGGGTTATTTTGGTTCTGCTTAACATTTTTGTCAGTGATTTGGATAAAAGGATGGGTAGCATCATTATTAGCTTTATGCCATCTGCAAGTTAAGGAGGGATAGCTAATGCACTAGATGACAAAATCAATATCCAGAAAGATTTTAAAAGCTATTTGGTGCAGTGGATAAATCAGTGGACGTGAAGTCAGGAAGACCTGAGTTCAAATACGGCCTCCATCATTTACTAGCTGTGTGAACCTGGGCAATTCATTTAACTTCTGTTTGCCTCGGTTTCCTAAGCCCTATAAAATAGGAGTGCTAATAACACCTACCTCCTGGGGTTGTTGTGAGGAGCAAATGAAATAGTGTTTGTAAAGCATTTTGCAAACCTTAAAGTGTTATGTAAATGCTAGTTGTTGTTATTAAATTGGGCTCCATCAAATAAGATGAAATTAGAAGGGACAAATGTGAATTCTTACAGTTGAGTTTGAGAAATCAACTTCAGCAGGGAAGGACAAAAATGGGAAATGGTGACATAAAAGGTACATATTAAAAAATTGTTTTAATGCAAATTAAAACAACTCTAATAAGGTACCACCTCACACCTCTGAGAAATGGCAAATGCTAGTGAGGATGAGGGAAAAATAGGTACACTAATGCACTGCTGGTGGAGTAGGGGACTCATCCGGCCATTCTGAAGATCAATTTGGAACTATGCCCAAAGGACTACAAAACTGGGTAAACCCTTCAATCCAGCACCCCATTACTAAGTCTGCGTCTCAAAGAGATCAAGGAAAAGGACCTATTTGTAAAAAAAAAATTGATAACAGCTTTTTGTGGTGGCAAAGAATTGGAAAGTGAGGGGATGCTCATAATCAGGGGGTGACTGAATGAGCTGTGGTAGATGATTGTGAAAGAGTACTATTGTGCCATAAGAAATGGTGAGGGGGGCTGGTTTCAGAAAAACATGGCGAGACCTACATGAACTGATGCAAAGTGAAGTGAAAAGAACCAGGAGATCATATATGCACAGTAACAGCAATGTTGTAATGATGACCACCTGTGAAAGACTTGACTACTCTGATCAACACAATGATCTAAGACATCTCTAAAGGACTTATGATGAAAAAATATCATCCACCTTCAGAGAGGGAGAGAACTGATGAACTCTGAATGCAGATCGAAGCATGATTTCCTTCCTTTATT